ACTGCGTCGTGAAACAAGCCCCAACTTAGAATTCTGAAGGGAAGTGGAAAAGAGGAAGGCCAAAGAACACATTACGCCGGGAAGTAGAAGCAGTTATGAAAGGGATGAATAACAACTGGAAAGAAATAGAAAGGATTGCTCAGAACAGGGTTGGATGAAGAGTGCTGGTGGACGGCCTATGCTCCTCCACGAGCAGTAACAGGCGTAACTAATTAATTCTCTTTATCTCAAAAGTCTTCTAATACACTTCAATACTACACTTGAGTGTAAGCTCTAGCTTGGAACACGAAAGAGCATATACATGAATTTGTGTTAATCTAATTGTGGTTAAAATCCATGAGTTGTGGAATTTCTTACAGGTAACGTTCGTGATGTCATTCTCTGGATTTATATAAATTCTCAACGTTTTTTTGGTTGAATACCGATCAAGGCATACTACTCAATTACTCCTCACAATAATAATCGCTTTCACTCTTTAAACGGCGAAGAAATAAAACACGAGTAATACTCAAATGTGGCCAAAGACTACCCTATAGAACCCGAACACAGATCTTAAAAAAACAGTCAGGTCAACTGCTTCTGTCTATATAAGTTTGAAGTCTGAAATTTAGTGTTCGAAGGACATTGGCATTGTTCCTCATTGAGTTAACGTCATTGTTTGATCGTAAATCACCTATCAGAACCACTGTTCCAACTTTAATTGAGCTTATTTTGGTTAAAGTGGTATTGTACTAGTGTGCTTTGATCTTGCTTTTGTATGTTTATTGCATCAAACAATCTTGGTCGACTTTGTTTTGATTTTTCGATTAAGTTTTGAAAATTTTCATACATATTCATTTTGTCTGTCATTTTAGTTAATTTTTAAGATGGTCGGCTCTGCTCACAAATGTGGACAGCCATATTACTTATTTCCTGTAGAAGGAATGTGATGGCTGTAAAAAGTGGTTCCATAAGATGTGCACCTGCTTAAGTTCCACTGACTATAAAAGTTACTGGAAGCCTAGCTCTCATTGGCTCTGTATATCTTGTTTTTCGAGCAAAATATTACTCATTCAAGAAGCCGTTAGCCCTCTAGGGGTAGCTGACAATAAGGCTGATGAGGGCTGTACCGGTAACATGGGTACTGATAACGAAGAATGTGTCAGTGTAGCAAGTGCTGTCACAGCACGTACCAGACACTCAAATGTGCAACACAAAATAGAGCTTTCTACCCCAAAACAATCGATTAGGTATACACCATTAGATATTGATAGCCAATTTGCTACAGCAGCGACTAATGATCCTGCTAGAACCATTATCATCTCGGGTGGTTCTAATGCGGATGCTGCAGCTGATGAGAAATGGATGACGCGGAGACGCAGAAGGGAAGGAAAGACAGCCAAAGAAAGCGCCCGTCTGGTTGAAAAGTCTTTATTGGACTCAAAATTCCGCGTGTCAGATTGCCCCGCCAAAGTCCGAAAGTAAGACAGTATTTAGCCCTATCGTAGATGGGGAAAGTTTATCGTCATCAAACATTGTCATGAGTTATTCGCTCGACTCCCAGGACAACGTTGCAAGGAAATCTAGCAGTAAGATGCCAGCAGTTAACAGGCAGGATCTGATATCACGGACGAAATCCGTGAACACGACTTTTAAAGAGACGTAATATTGCATAACGAGCACAAAACTTGTGATTCAAATATTCGTATTCGACCAGATTGGCCGCTTGAGGATCGAATCAAGTGGAAGAATGCTCTTATGGAATTAAGGGCTCAAAAGTTAAATGGCGAAACGAACCTTATGGTTAAGAGACTTCTGGAAGTCAGGTCCTGGAAGCATTGGCTTCCAAGACCTGTATGAGCAGAACTTATGATTCCCAAACACCTTAAATGTGTTCAACACGAACATCCGTAGCTTTCGAAAAAATGTCAGAACTAAGTTTAATGAACTAAGTTTAGATATACTTGTTGTCATAGAAACTTGGCTCATCCGTAGGTATAGACTGTTCGCTCATCATTGCTGGATACATCTGTATTAGAAGTGATAGAGTTATAAGTCGCAAGGGAGGAGGCATAATGTTATATGTTGGGGATCGCTTTCGTATGCAGTCAATCATATTGGAGGTGCATGTTAGTGGTACGCGTGAGGTAGCATGTTGTACAATTAAGCCTAAACACGGATGTAAGATCCATTTTGAAGGTTTAGTGTGTGAAAATCCCTCCATGCATACATTTGCAACTTGTTCTTATTGGTTTCTTTAGTTGTATATTTTGTTAGTCTTTTTGATGCCATTTGAGATGATAATATTTTGTTTTGCCATAGTTTTCTTATTTTTCCTTTGCCTTCACTGAACTTATGTGTTTCTTCCTGATCAGTATTTATGTTGTTCTAGTTGATATTTAACCATGACAGCAGCCATATTGATTGTTCCCTCTTTGATTGTGTTGCTTGAGTTGACTGGGATCGTGCATTTTGATCATGAATTGAAGCACTTTTCCAGGATGGGAAACACCTTGTGCTATAAAGCAACCAACCACTGTGTTTTGAACGGATTTTTACCTGATCTATTCAGAAGGGGTAGAATAACACTTATTTTTTATCGATTATTGAGGGAACAATTATTGATTGAATAACTGAGCGATAATATTTGTTTAGAACCGTTATTTTCCCGATCCCCTAGTTTTGATCTCAATTGATAAATGTCGAGTATCTAAATTACGCCGACAGTTATTCTTCAGCCAAACCTTAGTTGAGATTTTACTACTGGTTTGTGACCATAGGAGGAATATACCTTAGTCCATGTCGTCTTGCTGACGGCGTTATTTTAAGACACATCTATTCTTCAAGTAAGGCAGAATGTGTTTTCATCATTGGAGATTTCAACGCACCGCGTATCAAGTGGACAGAGCTTGCAACTCCCAGTGGATGTTTCGGTTGCAACCTGCTATCCACCATTATTAGATGTGCATTTGTACAATGTATTGCGAAACCGACACATATTGACTTTGAACAAGATTCATTATTGCTGGACCTTGTCCTCACACACCATCGCGATTATGGCATTGACATTCAGCACATTCCCCCACTGGCAAACAGTGACCACGTTGTGCTTAACTTTAAGTTTCGGATACACGGTATAAAAATATATGTCGGCTCCACCCCGTTCCAATATCTGGCGAGCTAATATTTCGGCAATCAGAGACTGTGCTATCTCGATTGACTGGTCAGTCGATGCTTATGGATCGACCGAAGACGAACGGAATAAGTTTATGACTACATTTGAGTCCATGACACAACCGTTCATCCCATAGTCAACACGTAAGCCATCACATTGCTATCCATGGATCATAAGGAGTACCGGGAGCTGGTGAAGCGTGGGAAACACTTCTGGGACTTATTCTTGTCAACAGGACAGGCATCATTTAAGCGCGAATACAAAAATATCCGGAATATATGTAAAAAGACCATAGCTTAATTCCGTACCACATACGAACGGGAGTTGGCATATGATAGCCGCACTTGTCCGAAGCCACTGTTTTCGTACGTTAAACGGAGGACAAAACGTAGTGATGGTATTGTGGCGTTACTGTTACATGAAAATTGAGACTTACTAGCTGAATTAGATTTAGAAAAAATGAGACTTTTTCAAACTATTTTAGCGAAGTCTACTATACGTGTATTGTTACAAACAGTTGTCCCAATCACACCGAGATACCAGCCATAGGATCTGTACATGTGACTAAAAAAACTGTTCTCCCACTGATCACTAACCTCAAACCTTGTAAGATATCGGGCTTCGGTGGGTTACATCCACGTTTGCTGTCATTGCTTTCGGACATTATTTCAAGAGCGCTAGTAACGCTCTGCAATATACCCTTTCTCCACATTGTGAATTATTATATGCTATAATCAGTCCTATATTTAAGGATAGTCAGAGACGGATTGTATCTAAATACCGTCCTGTCAGCTTGACCAGCATAGCCATTAAGTTTCTTGAAAAGATAATTGGGGTCAAGTTACCAAGCCACATAGATTCGCATAATCTGTTAACTCTCGAGCAACATGGGTTTTGTAACAAGCTTACTCATTGTGAGAGAGGATTGGACAGCAGCCTCAGACAACGACCTGCCTGTGGATATGATATTCAAAGATTTTAGCTAAGAGTTTGACAAGATTTCATACTTAGGTCTTATGCAGAATCTCTCGAGCTTTGGAATAACAGGTGCCGTACAGGAACGGATAGAAAAATTCTTATGTGACCGCAGACAGAGAGTGAGGGTCAATGAAACGCTATCCAAATGGGAGCCGGTCAAAAGTGATGTGACACAAGGCACCACTTTAGGCCTTCTACTTCTCCTATTCTATGTTGATGAGTTACAGCTATTACAGTCGACAATATGGTTTGCGGATGATGTCAAAATCTGTAGAACAATTAGAAGTGAGGCTGATCATTTTCATCTTCAAGCTGACTTAGACGAATTAGTTAGATGGGCTCGTGGTTGGGGCTTAGAAGCTAATTCCAGGAAGAGCGTGCACATGCACATCGGACACCGTATTAGTTACCATTATACCATTAATGGTACATCTCTTCCACGCGTTCAGGAACATAAAGACTTAGGAGTAATAGTGTCATGATTTGAAAACAACTACACACTGCAGTGCAGCTGCTGCCAAAGGTTATCGTGCGTTATGGTCGCTTCCCTCAGCATTCAAATGCTTTGACGAGATGTTTTGAAATTTATATCCCATCTATATAGGACCACTCTTGGAGTACCGTATCCAAGCAACTAGCCCATGCCTGATAAACGGTACTAGCTCACTTGGGTGTGTCCAGAGTGTACGGATGAAGGGTCTTTCTAAACTCCTTTATGATGAGCGTTTAAAACGCTTAAACCTTTCCCCCTTGTCGTATCGTTGGACGTGAGGTGGCCTTATATTGGGATTTCGTATCTTTGATTATGATTTGGGTGTCAATATGTCCTATCTTTTTGCTCCCTCCAGCACTGATAATCTCCGAGGTCATAGCAAGAAGGTTCACAAGCGGCGATTTAATATACTTAAAATGGGGTCCCATTTTTCTGATCGAATGGTCAATGACTGGAACACCTTCACCGAACAATTGGTATCAGCCACATCAGTGAACATTTTCAAGCAGAAGCTGGGCCTTCACTAGAAGGCAATCTGTCAGAATTAACACAGGTTCACTAACCTACTATCCCTATTACTGAAGACTGAAAACTGAAGGTTGTTGAAGACGAAGCGGTTCTGTTTAAAATCTAGGTCGAAATTGTAGTCCTCATCGTCTAATGCTCTGTCCTCAGAATGGAGGAGGAAAACAATGACCAGTCATATGATTCAGATGAGTCAGACGATTACAATTATATGGAGCCGGAATATGATGTAGAGGGCGAAAGGTATGGGTAGATTTCATTGTTCATGTTATTACATTCAGGTTTTGTTCCGACAGACTTCATCCTGAATCTTTTCTGTACAAATCCTTTGAAAGGAATGAGGTTGAAATTTTCCTCAACAGCACAGTTGATACTTTGTGTAACTTGATCAATGTATGTTTCTTTTTGCTTGTTGCTCAAACTTGGAAAGGTTATAAATTTGATCCAGTAGTGTTGAGTGGTCATTTGATATCTCTAGCAACATAATTTACAGAATTTTGATGTAACAGATGGTACTGCTCCAGAGGAATGGTATGCTTGGGATATACAATAGCTCGTCATTATGAAATCTTTAATAGTCAGTAGAACTTCCTCTGGGTATCCTAGTTAAGTGATCTATTTAGATTTCACAACTTTTATTAGTGTATAACATACCAAAGTAATCTAGCACACAACTTATTTTACCGAGTCTTTTCATAAGTCCATGTACTTACTCTAATAACTTTTAATTTATAGTTTGCGTTTAAAATGACCCATTGTTGAGTAATATGGTTGCTTTCGGCTGTACCATGCTTATTATATACTTACGTTGTGTTTTCTGAGGAAATCGGCTGCAGTAGATCGAGTGAAATAAAAGTTCTATAGCGTAACACTACATCGTTAGGACAAACTAGAATTGTTTTTTTTTCAGCGACCAACAGATGACATTTATTCTCGATGTAGGCACTGGATATAAACCTTCGTTCATGTTGTGGTGCCAAATGTTCTCTCCAATGATTCTGGTACCAAACCAGTAGTATTAGACAACATTAAGGACTCATTTACCATAGATTGGCTGGTTTTTATACTCAAATCGTGTTCTTTATCACCACTGGTGTCAATTAAAAACACCACTATTTCACAGTAACATGGACCTGTTTCGTAACATTATTTTAACACCACCAGTCTCATAGTGAAGATTATGAAATTATTCATGGATCGTATAACTAACTTTATGCACAAACGGCATGAAGCGTTATAATTATCTCAATTAGTTTTAGAAGCTGCTTCGACATAGAGGTCAGTAGTTTTGAATGTGTAACAGACTACAAGCTAGATGACAGCATTGTAACCTACTTCAGTGCTAATGTCGGCCGCTATTTCGTCCCCACGACCAGATTTTCCAAACTCACTTGACTAAATAAAAATCAAAAATTTCGGTATAGGTGGCTTACTTTCTGCCACCTCGACCATCTTCACTAAGACTTGCTCCTGTTACCCCTCATGGAGGAGCATAGGCCGCTCACCAGGATTCTTCACCCAAGTCTTTCTTAGGCAGTCCTTTCCGATTGTTTCCAGTTGCTTTTCATCGTGTTCATGTCCGCATCTAATTCTCGGTGCAGTGTGTTCTACGCCATTCTTCTTTTCCGTTTCTCTTCAGGATTCATCGTGATGCAGTTTGATGATTTCCTCAATATGTGTCCTATCCACTTCCAACATCTTTCCATATTTCCTCAACTGAAAGCTGGTTTGTTCTCTCCTACAGTAGACTGTTGCTGATGGTGTTCGGTCAGCGGACATTGATTATCTTGCGTGGACAATTGTTTATAAATACTTGTACGTTTTTGATGATGGTTGTAGTAGTTCTTGAAGTTTCAGTCCCACATAGTAGAACTGTCTTGACGTTCGTACTGAAGATTCCAACTTTGATGTTGGCTTACGGACGATTGTTTTGAGTTCGGTATGTTCTTCAACTGAATGCCAACCTTGCTTTGCCAATCCATACCTTCACATCTGCATCGGATCCTCCTCGTTCATCGATGATACTGTCCAGGTACGTAAAAGTTCCTAACTCTTCCAGAATTTCCACATCATGTGTGATTGGGTTGGTGTTTTCTGTTTTGAAGTTGAGAATCTTTCCCCGTTGTGTATGTTAAGGCCTACTGAAGCAGAGGCTTCTGCTACACTGGTTGTCTTGACCTGCATTTGTTGATATGTATGGGATAGAAGAGCCAGGTCATCTGTGAAGTCCAAATCGTCTAGCTGCGTAAAACCTGTCCATTTCATTCTTTGCTTCTTGTCAGATGTGTTGATCTTCATAATCCAGTCAACCACCAGAAAAAAGAGAAAGAGGGAAGAGTAGGCAGTCTTGTCTGACTCCGGTCCTTACTTGGAATGCATCTGTCAGCTGTTCTCCATGCACCACTTTGCAGTGTAGTTCGTCTTATGAGTTCTGGATAATGTTGACAATCTTCTGAGGAACTCCATAGTGTCGAAAAAGTTTCCATAATGTTCTCCGGTACACGCTGTCAAATACGTTTTCATAGTTAATGGAGTTGATGTATTGTGACGAATTCCATTCAATTGATTGTGCAACAATGAACCGTGGTGTCGCGATTCGGTCTGTGCACGACCAATCCTCAAGGAGTCTGGTCTGTTGATCTCGAAGTTGGGTCTGTCATCTGGTTCATAGACACTCTCTTAAAACGTTTTTTTGATACTGATAGTAATGTGGTTCCTCTATATTTCCCACATTTTCTCTGATCTCCTCTTGTGGTATCTTGATGAGGTGTCCCTCTCTCCAGCTTGTTGGCACGTGTTCTCCCAAATCTTTGTGAATAGAGTGTGAAGCATGTTTGCAGTTACTTCTATGTCTGACTTTAATGCTTCGGCTGGTATATTGTCAGGTACCTCTGCTTTCCCACTCTTGCTTTGTCTGGTGGCCATCCTGATCTCTTCGGTCGTTAGTGGAGTGACATCTATATGAATGTCTGTAGACGCTGCTTCGATGTCCTGTTGATTCAGTGGAGCTGATTTATTCAAGAGTTCCTCGAAGTGTTTCATCCATCTGTTTCTCTGTTCTTGAATCTCGAAAATTGTCTTGCCTTCTTTGTCCTTGACTGGTCTCTCTGGTTTACTAGATTTCCCTGTCAGTTTCTTCGTCGTGTCATTTAGTTTGATGTTTCCTTGTCGTTTTTCCGCTGTGGTCGTTAGGTCCTTCATGTATTTCTGTTTGTCGTCTCTAATGTTCCCTTTCACTTGTTTACTTCTGTGCATTCATCTTGTGCCTTAAATTCCTCTATTCCTATTCGGCTGTTGTTAGTCGCTGTCTTCTTGTTTTCACTTTCCTGAATCTTGTCCACGGTTTCCATAGAGATCCATTCCATATGACGATGATGCTTGTTGCAGCCCAGTACCTCCTGACATGTTGAAGTTAGTGCTTCTTTGATCCCTTTCCAGTTGTCTACCATCGTAGTCTCTTGTTCTTTCAGTAGATTCTGTAAGGTTTGAAACGGGTTGTTAAGAGTTATTTTGTCTAGGTTGAGTTTGTCAGTATGTCCAGGTAAGGGTATGTTGAACCTTTGTAATGCTGTTTGTCTAGTTGTCCAATGCTTCTTTAGCTTCAGTTTCATCTTGTCAACAACCAGCTAGTAGTGATTTGAAGCTATGTCAGCTCCGATTCTGGTTCTCACATCTTCCATTGTCCTTCGAAATGGTTTACTGATATAAATATGATTTATCTGGTTCTCGGTGGTGTGGTCCATGTATGTGATTGTGTGGTGATATTGTGGCACCTATAACCAGTTTGTTAAATGCACATAGATTTGGAAATCTCTTCCCATTTTTATTCCTTTCCTCTAGCCAGTCCATGTCATCCAATCTTCAATAAGAGTCCAAATAAAAATGTGTGAAGATGGATGTTAAGTAGTATCTTGTACCTCATGAAGATGTGGCCTTGAGATATCATTAGAATTTAATGTCTGAACAGAGGTGACTTTTAAGAAATTAATAGTTCTGACGTGGTCATTTACTAATCTAATATTTAATGTAATTAAATGTGTAAACGCATATATTGCATAGTTTCAGAATTTTCGAGTTCATGTCTTTCTGATGTGGTTTGCTCTGACGAAAATAACTTAGGAAAGACGTATAACTTCAAAGTGAGACTTTTAGTACGGTTCTGAAAAAGGTACCGAGTAGTACAGTACCTTGAAAAGGTTTTCTATGTGGAGTTTAAAATCGGTGTTTCATTTTAGCCCAACACCATTCAGGTTACATAATTCACAGATTGATTTTACTCACTATCGTCTTCCTTTAGTGTTTAAATGTAAAACAATTTTACGAAGTTGTAGAAACAAGCGGCTCATTCTTGACATCTAGCCATTCAAAAAGCCTGATTGTTTTTGTTTTGTAATACACAGTAATCAGAGTTTCTTTTGTGAAAATTGGTTTTCTTACATAGAAAGTTGTATACCAGTCACAGACGTCTTTGTTACTGTCTCGAAATCCTGGCTTGAAAGCGTAGTTGTGCAATTCCTTCTGATGAGTTGTACTATATGCCTGCAAGTTTACTTATCTGAGTGTAAAATGCTCAATTTTTGTATGAGTTGAATCACTGTTGTCCGTTCGACGTTCTTCACTAAAGAATAACCTTTGTGTCAACATACCTTTTCCTGGGTTGAATCAGTGGCTTAAAATGTATGCTTCGAAAAAGAAATCAGTGACAATCATTTTACAGCTTTATTTCGTTCATTGAGTAAGTAGTAAATGTACTTATCAGAAATATATATTGTGCCAGTACTCGTATTCAAAACCTGTTTTTTGTACTCATTCTTATTATCATTATTATTCTTCGACACAACAACATTACTTATTTTCATGTAGCACACTCTTCATTATCTCATTATACCACTCTTTTTGTGCTATAAAAAATAAAACCGAATATAAATCTTGTTGAACAATTTCAGGTACCACCAGCCATAGCTCGTTTGTTGTTACATAATAATAAATGGGATGTAGAGGCAATCAAGAAAAGGTTTTTGACCAATCCTTCGGCCACGTTAATTAGTCACAATATACTCCCAGGTCTTAATATACAATCCAGCTCCAGTGATAGTCAAGCAGTAATGGCCACTATTCACGCAATTCAAAATTTTAATGTTCAGACCGTCCCATACATATTCCCTCCAAAAATCACTCCAGGTTAACAGTCATTATTTATATTTTCGTACTTAATTTATAACTGATTCTTTTTGTTGTTTAATAATTTTTTCGCTTGCTAAATATAATTGTTAAAATGAGAGCTATGCTTGACCTCACTTAAGTATTTGTATGCCTCCCCCTTAAATATATGTTTCAGAAGTTTTTAACTGAGGTCTGGCTCTCTGCTCTTCTGCCTCAATGTTATTGTTCAAACTAAAAAGTGTTTTTGATGAACTGAAACTTTACATGATTACGTTATTTCACCACTGTTATAATTTCTCTTATTACGACTCAAATATTCCTATTACTTAGTATTCTTGGACACCGATTCACTCGACAAGTCCCCAAATCAAAACACGGTTGAGCAGGAGGAAATTATATTCCGAATAACAAGGGTAGATGGAAGTAAGAAGTGCAATAAGAAATACGTTAGTATATTTATAGTTTTTACATGAGAAGATCCCATGGTGTTCTCCAAGTATCGACTAGCGCTGACCGGATAAGCCAATCAGCATGCGTCAACTCAATCATGCATGGAACATACTTTAATCCAATCTATGTCCCGCTAACACCTCCCCCTTTCAGCAGATTCGTAGGATCTGGTACTAGGGTCCAACAGTTAACATTCATTATTCTCATCTGGATATACCAAACAACCACTTTGTTGGCATAATTGTGATAAATTGTTGTTCTATCACTATTGTTCACTCTGAGAGTTGGTACAAGTAGATTGTTATACTTTTATCAAATCAAATCTAGTCGAAATAATGAATAAAACGTATTTTTTAGAATTAGACTCAAATTTATTAAAACTTGACAGTTACCACTAACAAAGTACTGCCATCAAACTGCTTAAAAAGACGGATATGGAAGGTATGACCGTGCATAAAACATTCGTACTATACGAAATTCCGGAGTTGGTGGAAAAGTTTGTAAAGTTCGGATTATCCAGAAGAATATAGATTAAATTCCGCTTCCAGACGATCGATTGTAACATACTTTTATAAGGCAGTTAATACTAACTCACTATCTTTTCCAGGTTTCTCAGAATGAAAACACACCTTCTAATGTACCTAACAGTCTAAACTGACCAAGGTAGTTACTTTATCTGAAAATGTGACTGTCAAGTGTTAGAGTCCAGTATGTAGGAATCGCTCAATAATTTTTTGATCGTTGAGCATTAGGTTTGAACCTTGTTAGAGTTACTTGGATTCAAGACTCATAATAAAATCTCTCATGGGAAGTGTTGCTCAAAACCTAATATATGGGTCTGTAATGATACAATTATGATTATTGTCATAAGTAATATGTATGCTTCTCTTCTATCAGCTGAATAGGCTTTTTGGACAAGAGGTAAACTCGTTTTCCTTAACTATGAAGGTAAAAATTTTAGGTTTCAATCGTAGCATGAGTTTTCTTGAGGTCGCACATACGTTTTACTTACGATTTATGGTAAGCACTAAGCCCACATTTGTAACTTTAAGCTGATATACCAGAATCCAAACTACAGTCTTCCCGGTTGATTACTACATTTTAAATCCTGATTATTATGGTGTATTAGTGTGCTTAAGGTTTCTAATTTTTGCCTGATATTCAACTGGTGTTGGAAATATATTTGGCTAAGTTTTGGTTCATCATAGTACTTCATTGGTTTTCTATTACCGTCATTGTTTATTTATAGAGAGTTTTTTTTCTATACGTCATAAACCTTTAGATTCCTGTTGTGAAGTATGTTACACAGTCCCATCAAATAAGACGGACAGTCCAGTTAATATGTTCAATGAATCAGATTTACAACAGCTTCATAGTCCAACTTCTTCTAAACAAGGGAATTCAAAAAATTGTACTTCGTCTTTTCCCTCCGGCATAACTCCTTTTTCCTCTCCTCCTTCTACTACTACTACCAATAATAATATTAATAATAATAGTAACAACAATACTATCTACAACACTGTCTTAGATGTTTGGTCAGACAACTCTCATGATAAAAATTGTGACTTCCTGACCTGTAATAAAATGAATGGTCTTTACGGTCTCTCTTGTGGACATAGATTTTGTCCAGATTGCTGGCGTTCATATTTAACAATTAAAATAGAAGAAGGTTCTAGTATTGAAATCAAATGTATGTCGGTTGGATGTAATGTTTTAGTGATAGAAGATTTCCTTTTAACACTGTTGAAAAATCCACCTGTAAAAGACAAATATTTGAATCTGCTATTTCAACGTATGGTTGAGGTAAGACATTTTGTTCCATTACTCTTAATTGCTAACATGATTTTCAAATATTTTTACAGTCTTGATTCTAATGTTATGTAAGTTGTTGGACTCAATTGAAGGATTCTTCCCAATGATTTCTATTTTCCTAAATCTACCATCTGGGTGCTTCTATACATTCAAAAAACTTTTCTATCCTATGTTTACTTAAACACAAGAAATGTGATACAATAAAGACAATCGGGCACACCTTACATAAAACGAAATGATAATTTTGTGGAGAAGTAGAACAGATTATATTATGTAATAATAAAATTGGGAAGCGAAACAACCTAGGTAGATTTCATTTCTTCCAAGTCTTCATATAGCTGTATATATAAAGACACTAAACTTTTATTGTATTACCACTGAATTTAATTTCCAGTCACATCTGACACTATTCCAAGTTAGTAAACTATGCTTACTGCGTTTTTGTGCATAGAAAGACCTAATGATTCAATGTATGCCACCTTGAAACAAGGTTAATCCTTCTGCTTTCCTTAGTGTTAGATTTGCTATAGCCTTTTCAGCTTCATTAAGAAAAGAAGAGTTCATTTCAGTCTCCCATCCCGATTGTTTTAGAATAGTGGGTAACCTGCTATTATTACTCCAGGACGGCCTGTTCTACTTTTAGACCTACTGCTATGCTTACACCTGTGATGCAACAAGAGGTATAAGTCAAATTCTCAGAAACATTGTGTATAAATTTGACTGGTTCTCTGTATTGACTAGACGTGTTCTAGCGAATAACTGTACTTGGATCATGTGTGCATCTTTTGGAGACAACATACACCGATAGGACGGGATTACGGAGCACTAGCCAAGGAAAGCTGTTGGTCTATCTGACACAAGGTTCTAACATTAGATATTCCAACATATAATTTAGAGCGCAGTTTTAGGAAACCAGGAATAACATCTCTTAAACTCGTCTCCTTAACACTGGTGGTGCATAGCGATAAAGTCATAAAAGAAGGGTTAATAATATAAGAGAAATATTGCGAAATGACAAAGTGATTTGTTCGTGAACAAGGTGATCTCGAGTGAGGCTAAAAGTATTAGGGCGGTTGTCACTTCCATGTTGCCCTCACCATGGAAGAATGGTCTTATTCCAGGACCTGTAAATGAAACTGAATTAGAAGTGGTTTTAGTGATTTAGGAGCGTAACATCAAAGCCCAAGGGACAACTTCTTAAGGCCGGTCAAAGACGGTCTTTTTGTAGATTTTTGTTGTATTAGATCCGTAGTTGAAAAAGGCTTAACTATCGGACATAAAATCCGTCGGGTTTAATAGAGTGTGACGTATTTGGGGTCAGTCTTTTCCAACTCTTCCATTGCAAAATACTGATTACCTGTAAGGACTTCCTTACTGCCTTCATACTTTTGTACAGTTCATACAGTTCATACTTCTGTACAACTTTGCCCTCGGAAATTGAGTTACTGATTCCCCCACTGAATTACTTGGTATGGTAAGACTTACAGAAATAGATTTTTCAGTCAATGTAGCTTGACTGGGTTGGTGCGGCAGGTAAGCCTGACCACCACGCCATGGTAACAGCTGCAATCCGGATTTTCTGGTTACCATAACTAGGAACTACATATCACATTTAGCTTCTCATTGTAGTTATAAATTCAAGTCATCGAGCTTGTAGTACTACAAACCAATGCTTATTCATTATATTTGTATTTATAATTCTCAGGTTAAATGATTTAACGTTTCGTATTTTTTCCAATGGTTTTAGAGTCATCCATCATTACGTTTTTGTGTCGGTCTGAGTTGTCCTGTTTTGATTTGTGCGCTTGAAGAACCAAAGGCACGGCGCGTTCAGTGCGAGCGGTGCCATGCAGAGTTCTGTTTTATGTGCTCGGAAGCATATCATGCTCCAACTAGTTGTGCGACTTTAAAGCATTGGCTTGTTAAGTGTCGAGATGATTCAGGAACAGCAAATTACATGACAGCTCATACCAAAGATTGTCCATCATGTCATGTGTGTATCGAGAAAAATGAAGGTTGCAATCATATGGTATGTGAATTTGTATTACTCGTTTGTTATTTCATGACATAATTAACGTTCAAACCACTTCGTTTATCTAAAACCACAGTAAAGGGTAGTGAAACGTTTGATCAACTCTGAGATGCAGGTACATCCAGCTGACGAGTCCCGAATAGGACGAAACGCACGTCCTGGATTCCATTGCTAGTCACTATCCATCTCTGCTTACCATGCTTGTGAATTAAGTCTATATCAAGGCAATACGCACAGTATGCACATATTCCAATTAGAGACTGACCAGTTGCAGTCCTAACACATCGATGGGAAGATTCAAACAAACAATACTATGTGAATTTAAAATGTAGAATACATTTTGTAGTTAGTCATATGGTTGATGAAAATCAGAAGTGAATATAAATAAAATATTATACATCAATTTTGTAACTCAAACTAGAGTCACAGATCTGATTGTTTAAACTAAATATTTTGAAACGTATATTTGGCATGCCCTAACTCACGACGTAGGCTCATCAATTGGTTATTTGTGAACAGCCATTTGAAAAAGTAAAGTATTTTCTATTTGAACATAGGAAGGAAGATTAAATGTTGTATAATTTAAATACTATTGCAATATATATAGCCTAAGTTCGGGCACTTTCACACTAATTCATTCTTATTAATAAATTTAACAATATGATAAGTTAGGAGCTTGTAATAATATGTTGTCAATGTACATACTTTTGGAATTATTATCACACTTTTATTCAATTTACTTTTGTCTGAACAGTAGAATGGATTATTCCAATCTGACCAAATATTTTATGACCATGTATCCAAATAAATTTCTTTCTGTTGGTCCTCAGATAATGATTGTGGCTTATACTTCATTACTAGGAAAAAACCTCCGAATTGTTGAGTTGTTCCTTACTTTTATTTAGAAATCTGATGTTAGTCACTTAGTTGTAACTGCTAAGTCATATATATATATATATATATATATAGGGGATGTTAGATCGCCAGAACTTACATGGTAAATGCCTTATTTTTGTGATTTTATTTTGAAAAGTTGAATTTCTTGTTTTCGCGCTAAAAGCGCTCATTTTCACCTTCACATCGTATTTCCCGCTTGGGAGGATCTTAATCGCTATTGGTTCGTTATATCTTTTAGTATGCTGTTTTTTAACGCTTTCCAAGGACAGTTTTATGCTGTATATATACGTTTGGTTTGTGCCTGTCGTGATTGCTTGTGCTTCTGGCTGCTTGCGGAATCTATTTTCCCCACTTCGAACTTGGACTTCTCACTCTAGTTAGCGGGGCTGGGACGTTAGCCTATTGATCTTCGGTCATAGTCTTTGTTCGTTCTCAGATTAGGGAACTCGTAATCGCTTCAAACATAACAATATATTAGATCTCTTGTCATTTACATTACGGATTACCTACTATTCTTATCGTATAGCGATCACACGTTCATGCGTCATCAGTAAAATTGCTTAGTCAGTACCTAAGTGTAGTGTTTATTATTTTTTTGAAATAAGTTTTATTTTCAAAAACTCACATTATCAGCATAATTAACTAAAATATTTCAGTTTTTACCTTTTAGCCAATGTACATTCTCAAAGTTGTGCTTTGGTCTGTTTATAGATTTTCCAGTGATATACTTATTGTACTCTTTTCATGTCGAATTCAAATAAGTTGAACATAACTGTTTCTTTCAATATTTCTACGAATGTAGTTGGTTAATTTGTCCTTTTATTCACCCTTTTAAATCGATTGTCTTTTGTACATTTATGCTTGAGCTATATTTTCGTATGTTACACTTTCTGTATATATACATCATACTGAATTATTGATGCTTTCAGAAATTAAAATTCATATGTAACGTTATTTGTGTTCTTATTAGTCTACTGCAATATGAGTTGTTGTTTAGACTTGATTAATTAGCATACCAAACTTCTATAGCATTTCAGAACTTTGTTTCATGTCAGTGAACTGTAAAAGAACAAAAAGAAACTATAAAATTTCAGGTCATTTTAAAGACTATCAACAAACTTGAACACATCTTCAAATGATCTTAGAAAATTGTCTCCTCCCAAAAAATTAGAAAGCAAAAAATGGAATATATGATTATTTAGATTTTATACAAAGTAAAATTTATCAAGTATATTTTACTTTTGCGTAATTAATGAACTTTTCTAGGCTGCCTGTAGAGTTGATTATTAAGAATTTAGGTTTAAGGTTTAAGATTAAAATATATGTAAAATCAGTATACTCTATAATCAAAAAACCTTATCTTAAACACAACCTTAGGTATTTATTAATGTTCTCTTGGATAAAATTAATCATCACACAATCGATAATAGTTAGGATCGCGGTTTGATATGTCCCATTCATGTTGATATGAGTTGCTCGCTTCTGAATTGCTCATCGGTACAGTTCAATTTAACCGAATTTCACGATTTACTCACCTTGTGTCGTCATAAACTTGTGGTGTTGGACAATGTGACTTAAAGTAGTATGCATGAAATAACATTAATTGCTGGTGAAAGCAACTTAAGCGTTTTCTTAAGGAAATTATTAATTCCAGAATTTTATTAACTTCTTGCGTTGATTACTGGCTCGCAGAATTGTTCATATTTATTAACTACAGGAGTATTTTCTTCAGAAATAATGTTATCATGTTTAACCTTTTTCTATCATTTAGAAATGCTCAATTTGTCACTACGAATTCTGCTGGGTGTGTTTAGGGGGTAAGTAATTGTAATACTGTTGATATTGGTAGTCGTAGATTTTTTTCAGTTTCGTATCATTTTAACATGTAAAAGTGTATCTCCATTCATTTGATTTATTACCGTTATATTATATTACCGTTATTTCTATAGACTAGAAATGTTTTGTCAGTATTATTTTATTTATATTAAGATAACCATACTTATTTAACTTATGCTCAATCACGTCCAGTTGATACGCTTCATCATTATTCAACTAATTTCTTATATAATTTTAAGTAGATTTTTCAAAATGGCGAAAATCTCTGTTTTTTACTTTCTTCTATGTTAATCTATGAATTCTTTTGTCTATTTTTATTAGTTTCAATTTATTGTCGATTAGTATAGTAAAGAGAAATAATGCTTCAGAATCCACGTTGTTTACTGATTAACACTGAAACTTTCTTTTGTAAGTTAATGTAATGAAATCAGGAGAAAAGTTTTTAAAATATGGGTGTTAAGAAAATAAAGTCTTTTAGCTAGTGAATATGACGAAAATTGATACGACAACTATGGAATAGGAAATACGCCAGTTAACTGGACATTATAGTGTAAAACTTCTAGGGACATCGGGTTAATATATACAGTGGATATATATGATTTCCGTCTAACTCAATGAATCATAATTAATCTTAAAAAATGAGACTGTAGCTTAGTGCTTAAAGCACTCACCTTCTCTCGTAACACTTCGGTCTGTGGATTCAGGTAGAATGTCATTATCTCTCAAACAAACAGTGTAACTCAAAGCCAAATACATTAACTTGTACTTCATAAAATGGGTTATGTTAAGAGTACGAAACAAGATATTACTTTGTTATGTTACTGATGCATTAGAATATTATTTTACATCAATCTGACTGACTGTAAGCCATTTGTAACCAGTTCACATTTTTCCATCAGTATAAAGAATGTAGATTACATAAATAACCTTTAACTATGAGTAATATGTATCCATCTTGTACTTTGTTGTACAAATACAAACTGCATTAAATAGTATTCGTTAAGTGTAAGAAATTGATATTACCTCAATGTTCTCTCGTACACTCGTGCTGTAAATAATGAGTAGTAAAAGTGAACTACGAACTTTTCAGGGAATTAGATTTATTCACCACATTAAAATGAAATCTTACCTTGAGTAATTGAAAATAAGGATGCATTGTATTGTTGTTTCGTTGTCGTTTGATAAAGTAAACTTTAATGGGACCGAATTCATAGTCTATATGTTTCTAAGTGATTATGTTATTTTGTTACTTCTGTTTTGGAGATTTTAAAAGTGGTAGTCAGTTATCTGTTTATTTACGACGTATTTCTAGCTGCTTCATAGTTATTCTTGTCAATGAAAACTTCAAGTCTTAAGTATGGTATTGATGATAATTTTAATAACTAAACAAATATAAACCAGTGTGGGAAGGTTAGCAAACAATGAAAAGGTTGTATGGATGAAAAACCAGGAAATAGAGAGAATTTTTTAGTACATCGTATTGGCTTTGATTCAGGTATCGCCAGTCAACGTAGTAATTTTGAAAGACAGGGGACCGAATTCACTTGATATGTTTTGGATCCCTTTTAATAATCGACTTGTTTCTAATGTTATTTTTACCACTAAGATTCAGTCTAGAAAAGCTTTTTGGTAGACAAAATATGTCGTTTCTAGTTGTGGGACGTTTGGTACGCCACCAAGGCGCAAAAATCTAAATAAATTCGAATACCCCATCCATTTAAGAAATTCTGTTTCCGTTACGCAGTGTAAATAATTTGCTGTTGTAATAAAATAAGCGGACATTTAAAGTGTGAGCTACAAAAGATTTTTAAACTGTGTAGTTCTAGTGGAATATTTGTTTGGCACTTTCAAGCAACAAGAGGAGGGAGTGTCCGTTATCATATTATTAGAAGTCTTGTTAGTGTTTACAACTACGATATGATATGGTGGCAAAAATGTTTCGCTGAGGTATTGCTTAATTTAATCTCTGCCGTTAATTGTATATTTGTCACTTCATTCATAAATCATCTCAACACAAACTCAAAAAGAAATACCAAGTAGAAACCTTCATTATACACTTTCTGTTAATCACTACTTTTATGGTAAGGGATTTACTATTAAGGAGGAGTATTTTACAAAACACTTTCATATATAAGTAAAATATATATACTCCAAGCCTCTTCAACATGGTAGTAATATAAGTTTTTCTCCATTTTCATGTCTAAAAAGTTTGGAAATCACACGATGCAGAATACTATTTTTGCAGCAAATATCAAGAGAATCCAGATTCTGCAAAAGAATCCGTACGAACACGTGCACGTGAATCTCTGGAACGCTACATGTTTTATTATGAACGAGTAAGTTTATTTGTGCATTTTTTTCCCAAAGATTAGATCTTTTATGTTACCTTTTTATGTGTACATTTTAGATGCACCAACTGTGTTAGTATCTAATCTTGTACAATATGTTTGTCCTTGTAAACAAAACTCTTTGAAATAACACTATCAACTCAAGTGTACTTATTTCTTGAATATTTCTCAATATCTCTATTTATATGTCCATTATACTTTTGTTGGCCCTGGAATATCTGACTCTAATTGAATTGTTTCTGATTGCTATCAAAATATACATGTCGCCAATCTTCGTATATAATCATCAACTTAAATCGCGTTGGTGAATGACGGGATTAAGTAAGTCAAATGATAGAATGAGGTTTGAATACGTATATTTCGTACAATTGTTGATCGGAAAGTGAAGCAAAACGAAATGACGCGCAGTGAAGGTTAATGACCCAACTTCATTTATTCAAGCGTTAATCGATATTTATAGTTGAACAAAAATAAGTTACAGACATGTGATCAGTAAGATAAGAAATGCGCACACATACGCTTACATAAAAAGTCATGTTTGAAAAGCGAATAAGTGATAGCTTAAAAGTGTGGCTTGAGAAGAATGAATAGACTGTTCTGTCCAGAGGCTAGAATAACCTATGTGAGCTTGACACAGTACCAGCTCCTATATACTAACATTATTTGCACAAAAAAGTGGTATAAGTAGTAGTAATAAGAATAAAAACTGTGAAAATGTAAGTTTTTTCAAATTCTAACAGATCAAAGCTTTAAGATGTTATAAAAATTTTACTCATTTTATATCTGCTGTTATGTATACACAGTTTGAAATATTTCTGGATTCTTGGTACATCTCAGGTAATTCAGTTTGAGAAATTACGGCAGTCATTCTTTTGATAATAATCAATTTCACGTTAACTGGTACTCGTTGTTGACTTTGTTTAATCCATGAAGTTCCTATCGTGGTCATTAAAACTAAAGGAGGGGAGGTTAACTAATTAGTTGGCTCTCTGCAACTTGTTTAACACTTTGATGAAGTGTCATTACACAATATTGTAGAAAATAGTTTCTAGACTGACTGTCGCATGTTTCATAGTTTAGTCCAACTTAGTTCACCTTAGTTATTCTTTTGTAAGGTATGTTCTTGATTTTGCATGGCTAGAGACTTTGGTTGTTATGGTTCAGAATCATTTCCAATGACCTAGGTGCATTCAATCTTTGTCTTCCCTTAGATCATAAGTTTATAGACTTCTCACGTACTTTTTAAATCTCATTAATTCATGTATTTCTGAATTGTATCTTTGATGCCTAATCCTTTCAATCACTGCTCATACTGTTACTATCTCTACCATTCTGGGATACGGCCTGGAAATTTCTTCTTACTGTGCTAATCTGGTATGGGAACTTAAACCGACGTACACGTGTGGCAGGTTCTTCGTTGTTTTTGATCAACTTTCTTGGTTTTAGCTGATAATTGATAATTATGAGTAATGACAAAAAAATAAAATCGAACTCTGAAGTCAGCTGGAAAATCACTGTGAACTAGGAGACATCAGGCAGATGGGCCCCTTAACAAAGTTCTCTCACGAACCCACTCTAATTTGTCAAATGGATAGTTGTTAAGAGTTTGTTGAGCCTAATCGAAGCGTATATTCGTACGAAGTAGTAAAATGCTGTTTCTCATATCAGGTTCAATTACATATCATTATTCCTGTCATATATTATTTCGACATTTTAATCTTAGTTAGCATGAAGCAAAAAACCAGTAGCTCTTAGATTTTGTGTTATTTGGCATTCTATAGCATACATATCTAGAATTTTAATTAATCTTTCTCGTAAGAGTTTTTCCATTAAATAACTTTCTATCTGCTGCTAATAAGCTATAATGTAGTCGTTTTCAAAGTAGTCGTAAATTGATGATCATACTGAACTGCTTTTTTTCTGAAATCAGATTAACTATATTAGTGAATTAGTTAATAAAAATTATTTCAGCTAAACTGATTACTAACCAGTAGTAAATAGTTTAAAATTGACCTTTCCAATGAGTTGATTTAGAGGTTAACATCTAAACAAGATCACTTATCAGTCTAAACTTGACTTATTGTCGTGATCCTTTCTGGAAATGTAATAACATTCGTTTTAAGTCAAACGTATTCATAAATTTCCATTTTGATTCACTGGACGCCAATGTCTTCATTAATTTGTTGTTTTTGATAATTCCGATTTTATGTCTCAACTGTTTATTTTATATGATAGTGGGAAAATCATGAACGTAGTCTACGATTAGAACATGATCAACGAGCACGTATTCAAACGCGTATTAATGAAAAAGTCCTGAAAAAAGAAGGTACATGGATTGACTGGCAATATTTGCTACTCGCTGCAGATACGTTGAGAAACTGTCGATATACTTTAAAGTATACTTATCCTCATGCATTTTATGGTGAAAAATTGGAACGTAAAGAGTTATTTGAATATCAGCAAGCTTTACTAGAAGCAGAAGTAGAAGATTTATCATGGAAAATAGAACATGCTGAAATAACAGATCGAGCAGATTTACAAAATAAAATGGATATTTGTGAAAAGCATCGTTTAACTTTGTTACAAGAATTTCTAACTAATTAAATTATATTCTCATTTCTTTTTTTTTTTTCTAATTCAGAAGAATTATTTATTTATTACCTTTATGTTAGTGATCTATAAGATTTCATTTACCTTCATCCCTTTTTTTTCTGTTACTTATCTATCTACCTACCTAGATAAGACAATGACACACACTTGCGGTGTTAACGATAACATAGCATCTTTTTTTTGTTTAAAATTTTAGTCTTATCCTTTTAATTACACACAGTCACTCTTCTGTTAATGTTTCTAGTACAGTATTCATTAGTCTTCATGATATTATCCTTTCTCTACTTATTTTCACTGTTGAGTGCAAATAGACTCATTAAAACACATTAAATCTTGGCTTCTGATTTCATAGCGTGTGCTATTTGTCAATTTTGCCTGTCTTTATTTTTTATTATAAATGTTTATCTATTCTTTACCAGTTTTACTATCTGTGTGATTTTAATCATTAACTTTGATTATTCCTCTAAGATCTACTTATTGTAAATCTTTCTCTTTGATATTCGTTTATCATATTCTTTCGTATAAATATTTGGGTAATCGTTATAGTGTTTTTTTTCCTTGAAATACCTCACCATATATTTGTTTAAGGGATAAATTGTTTTAATTAATGCTGGACAATTATCGAGTTTAGGTAATGGTATCTACCTATTTCTGTTATAAACTGATTTACAGAGTTATTGGGAAGTGAATAGAGTTCCTAGTCATCACGTAAATTTCCGATAAAGATTTTTTATCTCATATTAAAACGTTTTACACAGTAGCAACATGTACAGTCACCTCGATTTTTAGTATCCACTTTATTTCGTAAGATTAACGTTTTTCGATCTTAAAATGTCCAACGTGGTTTGCGAGTTTGATGAACATATTACAGCTTCTAGGTTTATACGTAGAATAAGCCGCTTAATTTAATGAAAGCTCGGAATTCTCTTTAAGTTTATTGGACTGGTTGTACGGCACAGACGAATGTTCTATTCCAAGAAACAGAATAATAACCACTCTAAACCTGGTTGGTCTACCCAAGATAACGTTGTCCGATACGTTAACACTCATGTCGAAGTACTAACAAATCATATTTTCCTGGGCAACGTTTTAATTCAGATATGTACACTACTCATGAGTAGCCCAATATTTTCCCTTTTTTTGAGTTAGAATTCTGAAAATAAATTTTCAAGTGAGCAACTATTTGATATTTAATCACAGATGTGTGAGATAAGATGGAATTTTTACTTTATTTGCTCCAGCATAGTAATTCCTACGAAAAATTAAAAAATTACTCCTAGTTATAATACAATATTAAGAATAATGGATCCCTGCAATCCAAAACGTGTTTTTCATCTTAACAGTGAATGCACTCGTTATGTAATGTTAAAGAGTTTTTTCCAACTAATTTCAACATAATTTACATATACATGAAACCTACCAGTGGATTGTTTTACATGTTGTTGTCTTACTAGTTATTTGGAAGTGTGACAACTAACAATGTGCTTATTTTTCCCTTCTTTTGTCCATTGTTCACTTTTCTGTTGGTTCGGTCACTCATTCTCCAACCAATTAACAACTAGTCGTCAGGCTTAATTCATGCTTGTAGTATCAGACATTCATGTGATGTATAGAAAATACAGGTGAAATGAAAGTCCTATCTTGAATAGTATCGCTTAATGACGTTCAATAAGGTGATTTTATGGCGTTCATGATTTATGATGAGAAACAATATAACAGTTTAACGTAGATGGTCAGGTTTTTATACAGTTTTGCAATAGGATTGAATGACTATACTATATGTGATAGATCATTTTCACCTAGTCAACTATCCTACACCCAATTTCGATTATGGTTAATTTTGGTTAACCCCTTTTTATTAACTTATTTAACAGAAATTGTTATTTGGATAGTAACAATTCATATATATCTTTGCACTGTGTGATCATTAGAGCACATGGCGGACTCTAGCCAAAACGTTGATTGCTTGAATATTATTCGATGATTCATCCTCCTCATATATGTATGCACTCAAAACCTATTATTAGCTTTGGCTGCGCCCTTATATAATGTGATCATAAATTTGCCTATGTACTCGCTCGCGCTTGCTCGCTGTTGCTTACTCATGTGCTTGTAGTTTTGTGGCCTGCGTCATTTGATAATAAACTGTAGTTGCAGCTTTTTTTTGCCTTCTGATTTCATGCACCGTTAAGATTTGTATTATGAAGGTTATCGAGGTGAAAGATAATTGAAACATTGCGCTACAAACTTATTCAATCAACATGTTATTTAGACATTCAAAGTTTTATGAAATAAAATGTATTTAAGAGTTAGTGTATGAACAGTCGTACATAAAATAGAATTGTCGATGATACACTTCTTAATTTTTTAAGTGAAAATATATTGAAATATATTGACCCTATCTATAAAATCCGCGCTTTTTAATTTATATATATATTTTCATAGTGTAGAGCGTGAGACTATAGCAACCATCTCATAATCAATTCCGGTTATAGTCAATTTCGGTTAAGCCCTTTTTATTAACTTACTTAACAGACATCGTCATTTGGATAGTAACAATTTGCATATTCTTCGCACTGCTATACCACTAGAGCACATGACACTCTATCCGAAATGTTGACTGCTTAAATATCATTCGATGACTCATACTCCTCCCCATATGTGTACGCATGCAAATATTATTATCAGCCTTTGTTTTGCTTTACTGTGCCCTTATTAAATTTGACTATAAATTGCCTATGTAATTACTTGCTATTCGCCTCGTTCGTTTCCTTCGCTTGTTCGCCTGTTCATTCGCTCTCTCGCTTGCCTCTCGCTCGCTCGTTGATATTCGCTCAGGTGTTGTTAGCTTTCTGACTTGAGTTATTCGACAATAAACTGTAGTTGCTGCTATCCTTTGTCTTCTGATTTTACGCACCGTTAAGTTTAGAATTATAACGGTTATCGAAGTAAACGATTAACGAATCGCGGCACTACAAGTCAATTGAAGCTAGACCACCAAAGAAAACCTGGAAGGACTGGAAGGCCGTTCCGTTCTATTGTGGGACCTTGCCTCTCGAGATTCGAACCCAGAACTTACCAGTCTCGCGTCAGAGCACTTAACCGATAGACCGCTGAGCCGGCATCCGATGGTGTTTATGTCTAACTCCACAAAACCCCTTCTGATTATATATATATGTCAAATAAGCAATTATTCTGTTACATAATTATTCATATTTATTTTTAAAATATTACGGATTCATACTTCACTGAACACTTTAATCAAGAAAAAAAATCTGTAAGACAATAAAAACGGTGTGTGTGTGTTTTCTTTTCATAAAATTTTATTTCTATCCAAAATTAAGAATAATTAAAAAACATTAGCTGGTAACTAAAATTTTTTTCTATTTACACCAACTAACTATTATTTGTTGTTTTAAAATGATAAATAAATAAATGTATTTACATAATAAGCAAAAAATAAAAAATAAATCAATATTAAAAATATACATAAATTTAATTGATGTTTCCAACTGTTATTTTTTAAATTGATTTGTATACTTTGACGTAATGCACGTTGTGATGATTGACGTTGTTGTTTTAATTGATTGGTTTGGATACGCAATATATTTGGTCTTTTTAATTCATTATTATTATTATTATTATTATTATTATTATTATTATTATTATTATTATTATTATTTGAATATTCTTTAGAATTTTGATCAGATTTGAATGGGCAATTTATACATGTAGCTGATAAAAAAAATAAGAATTAGAAGATTAAGAATTAAATTCTGATTTAGATAATTGAATTATTTATTGAAGACAGTTATTATGATAATGTGTTTTTGTATTGGTTATTTGATTCTTCCTGTTGGTATTAAGGACTTTAATTGATCAGTTTCATATTGGTATACGCACATTCTGTACGGATTGCTTTGTATTGTCTTGGGTCACGTGAATTACAAGCAGGTATAGATGTTGACTAGCAGCGGAATTCAGGAAGCGTGTTTTGTCCTATTTGGGACTCACTGGCTTGACGTACCAGCTAACTGGATAATGCGATAGTATTAGGTTCAAGTTCTGGAGTGACCATTAACTCTGAAATGCAGGGGAATCCGGCTGACGAGTCCCAAATAGGGCGAAACGTTAATCCTGTATTCCATTGCTGGCCAACATCCATCTCTTCTTATAGTTATTTCGATAGTTTATGTTATCAAAAGAATTTTAATACATTAAAGTGGGAAAAGTTGCCAGAAATTTGTCGTTTACTCAAGAAAAGTATTTCGATGCAGTTTTATTTAAAATAAGGTTGTTATTTACTTATTCGATTGAACTTTTGCTAAGAAAAATCTGTCAGTAAACATTTACATTAAACCACTTATTTATTAATCAAATTTTCATGTTTTTCAGTGATATTTCTGAAAGGGTTGGAAGCTGAACTCCTTTTAAGTGTCTATTTAATTGTACATAAAGATACTGCCGAAATAATGAGCGTTTACAAGTAGAAAATAATGTTCTCAATTATGATTTAAGTTAAAGAAAACATTGTTCAGAAGGAAAATTGACTCTAAAACTATGAGAAGTGTAAACGATACCTTAGCTGATGTTTCTAATTCAAAATAAATGGCATTTTCAACTGTATATCTACCTGTATTTCATGATAAAATAATGCGTCAAGTTAGTTATGCAATTCGATAAATGACTAGTGATATTAACAAATTAGCTAACTAATCAATCGTTAAATTCCTTCTGTTCGTGCTCATTTGAAAAGTTATAAATTTAATGGATATGAACAATAAAACAATATACATAGTTAGTTATGGTAAAATAAAGTTCGATAGGATTTAAAAGCTACAAGTTCGCAACATCTAACTATATTCTTATCAAAACACTTACATAAGGTGAAGTATTTAACGAGAATTATTATACTGTCAATTGGACGTTATTATTCATGGCTTAGTGACTGCCCGAGGTGAAATATTTGTATAAAACAAACAGAACTCAAAAAGCTCTTGGATTTTAATTCGAAACCGTTCAACTGTGGTTTTTTAAATCCCTTCAGAATGGATAGAACAGAGCCAAAAGTGTAATGTAGAAACCAGAAAACTAAGAAGTAGGGTTTACAAAAAACCCTGAGGTTTGTGTAATATTGATCATTTATAAACTATGATAAAACAACAGTTCAGTGTGATGTACTTTGTTACTTCAAGCGTAGTAAGTTATTAATAAAATATAATTTTAAATAGTAAATAAATCATTATTCTTTTTCAACTTGTACAACCAACTGATTAGTTAACTAATAAAAGTCTCCAATACTTATTTTCTTACCTGATGTTAAACTGATATGAGCTACTGCTTCTTCTTCATTAACTTGTATATCACCTGAAGGAAGTCGATGATATTGACATTGTGGTGTATCGAAAAGAAAAACCAAATACCTTTGAACATTATTCTGCTTAATTTCTTTAAATATCTATCAGAATAAAATTCATGTTATGAATAATTAGAAATTACCCAACAATAGTATGTCTTCGTTGTAATATGATAAGTTATCAGGATTAGTTGTTTTTTGTCATTTAATCCAACTGGTATGATATTATACGCTGATAGGCACACATGACCTATTGATAAAAATAACCAGAGAAATGAATTAGGGATTATTTGTTTATATTATTAAAGTAGTACAATTATTCAATGCATCATACAGTAAAATGTATTTATTATCAAGCTTTGTTTTAAAAAAATGATTTATCAAATTATGTAAATGACTGAAAAACTTTTCACATCAATCAAACCTTTAAACCTCCAAAAAAAACTAGAGGAGTGACGAATAACAAATAAACCATTTAAATCGGTTGATAATGGTCACTGTCGAATGTGGCATAAATAAGAGACAATTTGACCCAATAAATGAAACAAAACAGCAAACAGTTTCTGTTACATGGATATGACTTCTAAATAATTGCCCGAATATCATTTATCTGATTGTTTTCTAAAATTTTATGTTAAGCTATGGTTACATTTATCGTATATATACAATGGAATTATACGACGTAACACTGACAGATAATGTCAATTACTTATAACTTTTTACATAACTGTATGTCAGTTAAAAATATCGATAAGGAGATAATCAAAAACCATTACGAACTACATTAAAATTCATACCCTCTACACAAGCTAGCAGCTATCTGAACTCGAGCCAACTGGACAACCCGTTAGTGGTTTGTAACAAAGAGAACTGAGTTCAAGTCTGTTATAAATCCAGCTAACGAGTTTCAAATAAGGTGAAACGTATGTCTAGAACTTCACTGTTATCTTTATCCCATCGATTATATAGAAATATGATCGAAGCAATTCGTCCAGAATGTACATATACCAACTAAGACTGATCAAAATTCAGTTAGAAATATCAACAGCGAGATTATTCCAACCATTAAACATTGAAATAGCAACTTGTGTTCGATTCTTTTTCCTTATTTTCTACTATTATATTACATGAACACATGATAATACATGTGTTACATTCATTTTTAAGATAATATCCTTACAGATCTTTATTATTAGTAACTTCATATTGTCTTTTATCCTTCAATTTTATACTAAATTTATATTAACTTGAATTTGTCATGTATTAAAAATGTCATAAATGTTCTTATATTGAAATTATATTAGATGATTATTGTTGGTATCATTAACAAGTTTTGATTTGATAATTTTGGATAAATTGAGCATTTGGTAGATTGTTATAAACAAATAATATATTTGTAATATCCCAATGAGTACTTGAGATTAATGTTAATTTGGTTATTTATTCTCTGAAGAAGTAGCTTAAACTGAGTCGCGAAACGTCGGAAAATCTAATTTTTCTAGTCATTGGGATATTACAAATATATTATTTATTTAGATGATTATTATTCCATTTCATAAAAAAGGTTTAAATGTAAAACAAAAACTTTCGCATCTATCAAAGATATTATTACAAGTAGTTACCGGGTTAGCAACAATATGATCATATGGGAATAATTCTAATCTTAAAGATGTCCAACTGATATCGTCGCTAATTATTAGGTAAAGTTTCATTTGATATACTTATGAATAATTAAATATATTGTATTATTATATAAATATAATATATAGTCCTATAATTAGTTTACAAGTGTTATAATTTCATGCTTTCTTATTGTACATTGGATAATAAAACAATTTCACTTGACCAATTTTATGTACTACTGTATAATTGGCGGGCTGCTTGAATATTTGGGCTACTTATTTCCACTCTCAAGATATTTCAACAAGTAATCTGTTTTTGCTTGTTATTACACATCATTATGTTTATTAATCGCACAACCTATTAAGGTGCATTTATGAAAAGTTTACAACCTTCCGCTGTACAAGTTACAAAATCCCATTCAGAGACATCGTGTTTGAGAGTAATATACGGTGAAAAGAATGTACATTATTCACATGTCGATTCCTGGACTGCTAACTTGTAGCTGGCGACCACTCAGTATTTGTTATCAGGATCGACCAAGGAGTAACTAACGTAAACTTCTTGAAATACTTTGTGTTGAGAATTCTATATTGTACCAAAAATATAATGTTTAATAAAGCTAATAATAATAATAATAAGACTGTATAACGTCATGTAACATAAATATTTGCCTTTTTCTATCATTTTGTCATGGATATAACTTCTTAGAAACGTTTGAAGTGATTAACCGACTGAAAAAAGGTACATCTATTATAAAATGTTCTGTTTATTATTTTCTTTATTTACATATTTAAATCTTCCAATTACGTAATGAGTATATTGACAATGATGTTTGAGACAGTTTTAAGCAAACTTCTTTAAAATTAATTTAAATAACTTATGTAGATCGCCAAATGTTTATGATTATAATACAACTGAATGTCTGTACAAAAGAAATGGCTATGCATCAGATAAACTAAATAAAAAAATATAGTCAGTATTTCTATAATTGGGGAATTGTCGATGACGTACGTGAACATATGAAGAGACACCATGTTATTTCATATTGTTTTTGTTTAACCTGAATAAAAAAATTTTCACTTAACCCATTGCATTTTATCATTATACATATATGTATATATTGTATTTAAACCTGCATAGTCTTACGTAAACTGACTAGTCATATATTACTGAAAAAATTAACTTACAAATGTAACGAATGTTTACTTACTATGTGAAATTAACTTATTCAGGTTTGTTTATGTAGTGACATGGTCAAAGGTTTGAGCCACTAATATTTCAGCTGTGTAAATATTCCAGTAAATCTTCCTGTTCTAGGTGTATGTAAACCGAGTAATTATGAATAAAAACTATACGTACACATATGTGCCCGTAAAAGATATGGAAATTATTGCAATGATAAATAATAGAAAACAGGAATAGAAACATTTCAGTTATTTGTTCTTTTCAGTAACAAAGGACAAGTACAGTAGAATTCACTCATCTTATACATGTTTCAGCTGAACTGGAAGAAAATCATAACAACTCAATATAGATAGCAGAAACTGATCACCGGAAGACATTAAGAAAACATTTTTCTGAATAATCACAATTTGAACGTATATTAAAGATAGAGAGAGCATTACTATGTCATATTATTTTATGTAGGGTAAAAATTCTCATTAAGACATTGAATAAAATACTTCTTTTTCATCAGTTTTTTCATGGTCCTACACTAATATTTATATGACTCATTCAAACAGTAATAACAGTTAACAAAATAATGCTAATCTAGCCTTAGTGTTACATAATTATACAAGAATTTCATAGATGATCGATAAAATAGTGTCGAATGACTGAATTATTGAAAGAAGAACAGAGTAATTATTACAGTCAGGTAGCTATTTGTAAATATTGAAAGTGTTTGGATAGACGTTTTAGAGTAGGCATAAAATCTAATTACAGAATTTGTCAAATATTCTTATAGTAAGTCAAGCTAACGGTAGTTACGTAGAAAAAAGATGTAATAGCACAAGATTGAAAGAAATTTAGAAAACATTTTAAAAACGTTGAGGTATCGTCTGTATCAGTCATTGAAATGGAGACAAGGGTTATTCAGACTTCTCTTTGGCAGAAAGGTTCAGTTTCTTAAATATGGATTCTGATAGCTTCACTAGAATATAAAAGACGAGCACGTAAATATTACGGTGAATTTAATGGAATACGGTGGATATCTTTAGAAGCATTATTCAAACTAACTTAATGTATTATACCAATAACATTCAACTGATGAACTAAAAATTACTATTCTATGGCATAAGTAGTTTCTTTGGACTTTAAATACAGTTTATTGTATGAATACTTTGATTTCTGAAAATGGACACACTACACTATCATAAAGTGGCTTTGCTAAATTATAACTTTCGTGTATAGGATTAAATATGTTATAACGAAAAATCCTTTGAATAAGATCAGGAGATAACATGGTAAATATTATACACAAGAAAAATATTCAATGTTAATAAACTTGTTACACAGATCACTTAAGTTTTCAACTATCAAACATAGACATTTTAAACATGTCTCAACAACAATAATGGAAAGGAGAAATTCACAAAGAAGTTATGATATATAATTAATTTTAAGTCATGTATTACTTTGTATAATAATGTGTATCCCCTAAATGCCTTGGTACGACCGAGAGTGGGGAGAGTCCGCTCTCACTCTCGAAATGCTCTAACATGGCCACGCGTATATAGTCTCTTACAGGGAAGTTCTACTCACTGCCATCTCGTGGCGGGGTTGTTGTTCACGGAATCGAAAAGACGAAAAGCGATTATCCGCCGCTATAACCGGGTTGGTGGACACGGAGGGTCTACCTCGGGGAGTTGGAAAACCCTGATTTCAAACCAATGGTGCACATGGGATCCAGGATCCTGAGGGAACAAATGGTGTATGAATCAATCGTTGGTCACCGGTTACCATGAAACTGCATCTCCCTACGATGCTCCACTGCCTTATGGATTAGACCTTTAGGTCAAAGGCTCGGGGTGTGCCCCCTAAGAAAACCATCTGCTTCGGTCCAGGCACTCGGGTAGTATCACAGCCCTCACACAAATCAAACGAGATTTGTGAGGCGCATATATATCTGGTGCTTCCTTGTACCAATATTTATGTGTTTAAATAAATAAATAAATTTATCGAAACTTATCAGTAAATTAATTAAACTCAAAGTATCTACTTCTAATTATTGAAACAAGGTGAGTAATAAATCACTTTAGTGATTAAGTAAACATAATTATGGTGGTTTAATTAAAATGAAGATCATCTCTCGCATTAGTTATTTTTATGAAAGATAGCAAAAGCGAAACCATTGTAATTATTCCAGTTAAAACGGAAGTAAGTAATAACAAAATAAACTGACAATGTTTGCTTTTTGGTTATAACGTAGAAACGTAACCAATCCAAAAAAGAAAATTATCTCCTAACTATATCAGTAAAAAACAAGCTATGTTTATATATAAGAACATTAAAACTCACTTGTATTAAAGGAACTTTGGATTTGTTGATATAAACAATCATTATGAATCCAAATTTTATTTCCAAATTCTCCTGTTGAACCATAAGTTCTATTGAAGTCACTTAATTCAATATGGCATGAGACAAATATTTTCGTCATTTTACTATGAATCAAAGGATGAGTATACATATAATCTGTATTTTTGATTAACTTATATGATGGTGACTTTTTATAACGATTTATTCTATATCCTAAACTGTTATATTTCATTTTTGTAGACCATTGATCATAATGCCTATTTATAGGTTGAATATATTCAGAATGATTATTATTGTTAAATGTTTGAAATTGTTCATGATTAATTTTGACTGATGGAATTTCTCCAGTTAATTTCCATTTATTTATTAAATAATCAACATTTATATTCATTGTTCCAATAAGTCGCATTTGATATAGTCCACATTTTACAGGAGGATCACTGTATGCATTCAACATTTCTGAGAGATGATAAAAAGTAATTTAGTTGATAGAATGTAAAATAATTTGAAAATTCTGAATTATAAAATAATCTCACATATATGATGGATTTTATCTACTTTTAGGCTAAATCGTTTTGTAGTTGAAAGCGTGAGTCAATTGAAGATAGACCACCAGAGAAAACCTGGAAGCTTTGGACGGCCGTTTCGTCCTATTATGGGGCTCCTCAGCAGTGCGTATCCACGAACTCACCCTGCCATGATTTTATTGAGTAGTTGAGTTATATTGATTAATAGTGATATCTAGCTTGTTTCATATTTCTATCAATAAGTCATTGATGAAACACAACAGTTTTACCAAAGTCTTCTAACTAGTAGGTTTTATTTTGTACTTTAATGTATATATGGTAAGGGACAAACATTTTATTTCTCGATGAAACTGGATTTTGCCTATGTGAGAACCTTTATTTCTGAAATCACTTGGTTATATTATAAATGTTTGCAAAGGTCAGTTATATATGAATTAGGAAATTTGAATCAATATCTGGAAGTTAGTATTGCTTTTGAAATTATGTGAAAGAATGGATATAAAATATTGTGTGATTGTTTATTCCCCTTACAGTTTTGCTGATCATAACGAAAGGGTTATTATCTGTCAATTCCATTTTTGATGTTTTATAGTGATCTTACCTATATATAAGCTTGAACATGTCCAAACTGACTCAACCTTCTGAAGTAGCCTATGTGCAGAAATTGTAATTTTAATTCTTAATAATCCGCTTATATGCTATCATTGGCAACTATTATTTAATTAATTATCCCTTCTTCTTGTTTTCTCGTCGCATCACTTGAGTTATATTTGTCAGAAGTAAATAATTGCTACTATTTTGTTTCATCTTTTGAAAATTATACATGGTTCGTAGCTATCATGGTAACATTTATCCGGGCGATCGTAAAACGAATAAAATATGTTCTCTGTAGAGCACTACAATCTAATAAAGTAAATTATAAATTTTAAAAATTGTCATAACTTACGGAATGGTTCAATATTTCTGACTAATATGAGTGCATTAGATGATTTTTTGGCTTTATTATTTAAACTGAATGATTGTGATTCAAAATTGCACAATGTTTTAACATTTGATCCATATTTTTTACTTTGAGCTTTAAACAAAAAGACAGAAAATGGAAACATGTTTACTGAGATTAATGAAAACGTTTTAGCTGAATATTTTTGTTTTAATTCTAGGGTTGGTAAAAAATTTGCTGGATATTGTTCACGTTATTGTCTATTCCTTTGGTAAGAAAGTTTATTTCACTTTTCATAGTATGAAGAAATTAAATCTAGAATTGGCATATGACGAAATAGATGACTGATAAATGTGTGAAGTAAATGAATACATCTTCATTTTCTTCGATGTAGTAATAGAGTTTATTCTATACATCGATCTTCTCATTTTCTTCCCATTACTTTATGACATTCAGTTTAATTATTCTATTTATTTCCTTCTGTGATGCTAATTATGCTAAATGGATCTGTGAATTGTTCATTTTTTAATTGTTCAAATATTGTTGATGGTTTCAGGCTGTTTTCTTTAATTAATATTATTTGATTACCTTATTACTTGATCAGCTGATATTATATATATTGTGTTAAGTAATAAAGCATTTACGTAGAGACTATATAGTACTTGGTATATATTTCCCTTTTGTTTATTTTTCGATAGAAATAAACAAAAGAATCAGAATTCATGAATGTGAAGCAAGTAACCTACTTTATTTAGATGTCATAAAAAAATCATACGAGGAAACCCACTCAAAAACGTTTCGATCAACAACATACAATCGTTTAATTACTGTTGTTAAAACAATTTTGTGAACTATTTTTAGTTAATATTTGAAATTCAGTGATTAAAATGTTGAAGAACCCGTTGGATTATTTTATGCTGCAAATATCCTACTATATGGAATCCCATAGTACTAAACAAAATAACTGTTACTACTTAATACTAGAAATAGTAATGCTTTTGGGTATGTGATTTTAATGTAAAAACAAAGGGCTGTAAAATAGATTACCAAATTTTTAAAATAAAATATATTATGACGTCCAAAAGTCCATTAAAAGTTTAGCTTCAGGTTGAGTTTTAGCGAGGATCATACCATTCATATTTGCTGGTATCAATCCCTTTCACTGAAAAATATTTGTGACGTTACAAGAATTATAAGGACTTGTTATAGCTATTTTTGAAGAATACGAGAAATTGAGATATCACACTTTGTTTCAACCCGATTGATTTCAAATAGCTAGTATTATATATCGGCATCATATAAGATAACATACGTGTATCTGAAACAACTAGTAGAAAAGAAAGTTGAACAGAAGTTCACGGATTAGTATTAAAGTGCGTGATCTGTATACATTGTTCAACTTGTAGGTGTCATTACTGACAGCTAAGAAACTATTGAAAATATGTATCATTTGTTTACGAATCACGGGTGTTAAGTTATTAGTCTAGCACGACAATATTAAGGTTGTTGGTTTTGGTACTAGAGTAACCGTGGACAAACAATGGTATAAAGTTACAAACCTAAACAGAACAGCCGTCAACTAATCCCTAATATCCAGTAGTTCTTAAGGAAAAGTGAGTCCTTGATAAAAACTAACTTTGCTCATACGGACCAGTCGTTAGTTAAAAAGGATTTAATAGCTTGTTTCCTAATGAACTACTTTTTAAACTGCATTTAGGAAAAAGAACATAATGGTTAAATTAACTTACATAGTCGAAATTCCATTGCGTTGGTGTTAGGCGAATCAAGCGAACGGCGAATACCACTTTGAAATAATTCTAGACAAATATCTCTAGGTTGACTAGTAAAATAAAACAAATTTTGTTTTATTTATTAAAAAAGGAGAAACTCAATTGTGAAAGTAGAATTTAAATGGCATATCTTGTCGCTTATTGTTTGTCTATGTTTTAAAGTTTACTTGAACAGGTAAAGTTGTCAGTATGAATTTAACAAGAAATAACCGCCCAAGGCTTCCTGTTATTCAGAACTATTTCATCTAAGATGAGATATCGATGAAAGTCACTCCTTGGTAATAATCATATTGACTTGCCTATCATTGTTATTATTAAACATGAACAAGTAATAATTAAGTAATCAAATAAGCATTAAAAAATTATTTTAACTTAAACATAAGTAGAACAAATATCTAATAACCTTATCTTACCATGAAATGTTTAACTGGGAACTGTTAATTAATTTCTACAAAATCAGAGACAGTAAATGTAACCTAATATGACTAGACACTCAGATATGACTAGTTAGAAAGAAAAATTAGATGTGAAGACATTCCAGTCAAAAAAACAATGAATTTTAGTGTTTTTTTAAGGTACTGGGTTCGAGTCTCAGAGTGAACATCAACTCTGAAATGTAGATACATCCAGCTGACGGGTCCCAGATAGGTCGAAACACGCGTCCTGGATTCCACTGCTAGCCACTATCCATCTTTGCTTACAAAAATAAATATTTTACTACATAAAAGTGATAAGTTAACAGGTTTCTTGTCAAAAATTTCAATTTTTCACATGCAAACAAGATAAACATACACAGTATTTATGTACATGTCTACATAAAGCTATCTATTAGTGTTTGAGTTATCGTGACGAAGTGTTAATAATGACAGATAAATATTTAATATTCATTGAATAAGTTAAGGTTTTAGGAGGTCAAGATACTTATTTAACCATTCATAAGATAAAATTCAACAGAATAAACTTGAGTGAATACATGGTGAATATGTTACATATATTCAATATGAAAGCTGAATTTCACAAATTCATGTAAATTTATTGAGGAAAATAATCGTGTAGTGTGGGTTACTTATATCCACATAGGTAGTATATGGTGATGGACGGGCATAGCATGTATTTTGGCAGAAAATAAATAAGGAAAGAACAGAAACGATGTGCAATCAGCATGAAAATGCATGAACAATGGAATCAGAGAAGATGGATTGATATTTGCAGAAGGAACAGTCAAGATTGAGACAATTGATTGTTATTTTGCAAATTAACTTTTCACTATATGGTTATCAAATTTTAATGAGATAGTCCGTAATTCGTGCCAAGATACATTCGATTTTGCACAATTGTGTTCATGTTCATTACAATAATGATCAATAAAAACAGTCTTAGAGACTGAAAGAGAATAATAGTTGTTAATATGTTTACTTTACAAATTATAATTTAACACCAAGATATGGTGTTTTCTTATTTAGAAAGACATCAGATTGTCTTCTGTAAACAATGTAATATATAAATTGGAATAAAACTGAACAAGTAATCAAACTAAAAATAGATATTTGAAGGTGACATTCAGAACTAGTTTAACATGATTTGCTTAAGTGCATATAAACGGATTAGGTTGCATATGATTCAATAACTCATAAGTATTATGATTGAATCAAGATAAAATGTGTAAAGAAAAGACCATGAGATGACATAAATAGTATTTTAAATTGTGCAATATGATTGTGTCAACATATTATGGGAAGCATTATGAACCATTATTAATTAAATGAAAACGATTAAGAATTACGTCTCTGTCCCATCAAACTTTCGGCTATATAACTATAAAAATTTCTGTTTTATTCTCTGTTATTTTCTTGTTGAATAAATATCCAACGTACTTGGACAAGTACAGGATGGTGTCACATCTAGATATACTAACTGTTAATTGCTAGTGTGGTTATTTTAGTTATTACGACAACGACTTGACTACATAATTTGATGTCAAGTTTTTTATAAAGACAAAGGGGAGGGGAAACAATCAAATACCGCCAATGGAAAAATAAAATTTTAAAGTTTAGTGACAATTGATGGCTTGTCAATCATGAAATTTCAAGCCGGTTTGAAGTTTAGAATGGTTCCATTGCCTTAAAAATTACTATTTGATACTGTCTTCTGAGTGATTGATTGACTGACTCTGTTTTTTTTAAAACATAATGCATTGCTTTAAATCTAATAAATTTAATCCCATACTACTTTTATTCTATGATTATTTCTGTTGAGTTATCAGGTTCAGTTATTGGTAGGGTATATTTTTCAGTAAAATTTGTTTAAACTTAAATAAAAGTATACAGTTATTAGCATCAAAATTTTCATGCGTAACTCTGGAATATGTTCGAAACAAGCAAATTAATGAGAAAAACTTTCAGGTTTCTATTTTAAAAGAAATGGCTTTCATCTCACATCATATAAAAAACCTCGTAAAAAATACTTTAATATCCTGTTGAGAATGTTCTTGATTGATTGGAAAATCTCTTATCATGACAGATAAGGAAGAACATAGCAATCATTTGGTCCTTTTGTAGATCGATAACATTCTATTCAGATATTTGTTGTACAATATGAACAGTCAATTTAAAAATTTTATTCCCAACGTAGTGAATGATAAGCTAAAATATGGCGTAGGAGTGCTAAAATGGATCAATTTTTACATCGTCAACTCCTCAATATCTATCTTTCAAAACTCAAATTTTCCTTGACGTCTACTGAATTTGTTAATAAACGTTTTATAAGTGTCCAGAAATGTTCCATGAGTGATCATAAAAAGAATTCACAAAGTCAAATAAGACACTGCAGCTAAAGATTATTCATAATAAGCATTGAAAAACTAATAAGGTTTCCACAATCACTATACTCTTACAAGTCTTATTCATTTTTGTTTTATTACTATGATAAGGAATTACATGAAAAGACAGAAACATTATTTGTAATATACGTTTTTTCGTTTTCATCATGTACCATGAAATAATTTTTTAACGTAAGATCAACAGCTATCCTCAAATTGACTGAAAAAGATGTGGGAATTCAAGATTAGGTGAATTAATTTTTCATTTCTGAACCTTCAGTCATAATTCATATGCTAGCAAACACATTTTTTGCCGTATTATTTGTCACAGTTATTTGCTTGTTTACGAAAAATTTTCATACACCTTAGATAATTTTAGTCATATTGTCACTAATTTTTAAATGAACAACATTCTGTGGTGAGACAACAATGTATGGATGATCTTTGAGCGACGCTAGAATGACGTTGAGAGTGTCCACCTAATAACTAGGACCAAATGAGGGTTATAAACCAGGGTGAAGAATTAGAATTATAATTTACAATCGATGGTTAAGGTTACGAATTAGATTTAAGATTTTCATCACGAACTGATATCAACTATAGTGTCAAAACTCTATTTAGCCAATCGGATGAGTGAATTTCGCACCAATATCCAAGACCTGTTATCTTATATCTGATTGGTTCGTCAATAAATTATAGTCTTGTCTATTTTGTAGTATTGAAATGTACTGAGTTTTTTGATGCAATTTTACGATTAAGAATATATTAGAGACATTCTGAGCTACCACAATAGTTCAGGACACTTAGAGATACCTGTATAGTTTCCAAACCAAATCTAAGTATTTTCTATCGTTCAGTTTGATTTTCAAAAATATGAATTTTTATGTAGCTTTTTTATTTACATTACTAAATAAGCGATCGTTCCCCATAAATAAAGTTGTAAACCTGTTAGTACGAGAGTTTATGACAATCTATGGAGGCCGTCTTCTGATATTGATATTACTTAGCCATGTTTATTATTTCATTCACGCCAACTAATGATCGCCATCAAAAGATGAAAGTAAATCGTAATTGAAATACTGCATACGTTGAAACATATTTCAATATAATAATCTTTCAATCGAAGTAAGATCGAAACGTTTCCACAATTGATGAAAATGTGGTTGCAGATTGTTTGTGGTATGATTTGACTAAGTAAAAAAATATTAAGGTTGGGTATTTGTTTATTGATTGATCTGAATCCATTAAATGACGTGGTTCCGTTATAATGAACTCCAAGAAATAGGTTATCCATAAACATGTATACAATGACGACACAATGATGATATTTATAAAATTAACATACCATCCATTAGCTTGTTTTCTTGATCTAATTATAAACCAGTCTTGGATAACTTCACGTACTTCTCGTATACACAAATAAGATTCATTTGTTTCACCCATGAAAATAAGATAGTTTTCACCGAAGATTAGACTAGCCCATTTGGATTTATGTGATTCAGAGGAAGGATAGTTTTTGTTTGATGTTGACTCTATTAAATTCCAATGACCTTGATAGTTTTGTTTGAATGTACATGAATCCCACTGTGAAGATTCTATAAAAAAAAGAAAATGGGACGTAATCAACAACAGTGAAGGGTACTTGCATCGAAATGATATGGCATGATTCTATAACTTTCGGTTGTATTCAAATGAAGTGTATTATTGAAAGTGCTTTTTTGAAGGATTTATTGTTTATATTTATTGAGCTTTTTGTCAACTTTTCAATCATAATCACTATAGTTTTGAAGTTAAAGTATCATAGTTATGCAACATTTGTAATGAAACTACATGGTTCGGAAAAGACTTTTGACTACTTGAAATTCGTTGTTATCAATCAACGCCAATTAATCGCCTGCTGGTTTTCTTAAATAGCATAAGCAAAAAGGTCGCATAGGTCGTTCTCAAATAAACTGCCTTTTTATAGCATATAAGAAAGTGTCCTGTAAGTTTGAGAGAATTGTTCTTAGTTTACATGCTGTGTCATCGTGAAAGAATAGACCACAACATTTGATGTCACTAGATTGTATTTAAACAAAGGGACATAAAGAAAAGTATTTCTAATTTATAATAGTACCTACCTTTAGTCTGCCTCTATCCAGTTAATTCCTTCAATCAAAATGAACAAATATCTGACAAAATATTTGGTTCACTTTTAATTTAAGGTATTATGTGAATGATTTTAGTTGTCTCTAAACATTTACATGACTTTAAATGGGTATTTTTAAAATGACGTTTTGAAACTTCCAAGTTCTTTGTACCACTGTGTATGACTTTAATGCATATTCAAGTAAAATGAACGACTGAATTTTTGTTTAGAGTACACGAGAATTTTTCTAAAGCACTTACTACATTTTTTGTCGTCCACCGGGCAGCTTTTATAACAAAATAATCGATTTCGTATATCATGATCACATCCTTTTGTACAGCTGGTTGGCTCATCATCACATATTCCAACTAAAAATTTAAAAATGTATGGTATTAGAAATGTATAATCTCAGTCTAACAAGAATATTGGAACAAAACACTACAAAGTGTTCGAAATAAAGTGCTCACAAATTTCACACTCCTCATTTTCGAATTATGACAAAAGGTCATGTGAGCCTGTGAAATCTTAATATTTGCGGTTCACTACGGGTCTACGATATTCGGTCGTTTACAAACGATTGGACAATTCTATTGAGTAAATAACTAACGTCACTGACATACAACACTACAACGGTTGGTCGTTAACACAGAAATATGTAGTGCAGAAAAAACGTGATATTCATAGTAGAACAAGCGCAAAAAAACAAAATAGAACAACTCCGTATATATTGTAACGAAAGCATAACCTTCAAGTAAAGAGAAAAATAATGAACTAAAAGGAGTAGCAACCAGTAAAATGGAAGCGAAGGTCATGGGAAGAACTGAATTAGCAAAGAGCACTTGAAGTCATCATTTCTAGTAAAACCTTAATATCATTAACAAAAATTGATAATTCTGTGATTGCCTTCTCCAAGCTAGACTGAAAATACTAATCTGTACGGTGGAAAAATAAACCCTCAGACAAACTACTTGAAAAATTTCCATAAAAACATATTTGGATGAAATTCATTACTTTTAAAGTGTCATTTTACGATAAATATAAGACAATAAATGATCTCTGATAAACTGTAAGGTCATTTAACAGACTAATTATGTTAAAAATACACTAAGATATTTAAGGTTCAAATATGATTAATAATACTTTAACCCTAAAATGATCGTGGCAGCTTAGTGCTTTTTCTAAAAGTTATTTTGATCAGCGAACGCACTAGATTAATTGCTCGGTCTATATAAATAAATATTACTTCCAGGTGAAAACCCATATCGTCGAAGAGCAACATACAGACGTACCGAGGTCCCCTTATAGTTGAAAAAACAAAAATACCATGAGTGAATTAAAATGTACGTAATGCCTAATGTTTTTACTGTTTTCAAATGTATGTAGAACAGCCCACAATGTAAATCAGTATTACCATTTCAAAAAAAACATTCAGCTTACATGCACGACGTATTTGCAGTCGGTAAGCAGGACTTTCGTAGGTCCTTTGATCATTCCAATTTTTAGTGATTGTTGTGTCAATGTGTGAACTATGCGAATCCAGTAATAAAGTGCTATATTGATAATGTTTTGAAGATAAACCTGAGTATATCCAAAGTGGCTTACTTTGACCATAAGTGTAGTCTGATGGGTTTAAAGGTTCCGGAATATCTGAGAACACCTGCATATGTCAGGTAAAAAAACGAATATAGAATTAGTTTAATGATTTTATACATTACTGAACAACATAGGCTGTTTTAATTTTTTCTAACAAGACAATTATCTTGTTTGTGGAGATGTAGGTGATATAAATTTCACGGATTTTTTAATACTTAAGTTGAAACTGGCAAACTGTGTAACCAAAATATTTCAACTACTATTTTGGGTTATTTTTGTTGCTTGTGTGTTTATTTACCACTACACAGCTTGTTAAAGTAATTTATTTGAAATGGCGTAATAACGTCGATTCAAGTCGAATTATTCAACCAGTAGACCACGTTGTTTGTTAAACAACAATTAATTTTGATACTCAAACCTAATTTCATTATCTAAGAAGTTATCTACAAAGCACATATCTTAGAATAACATATTCGAAATGACTTTGTATCATTTTTTAATTTAGCGCTTCTTATATTCATAATTGAACTAAAAACAATGGCTATTTGTAAGTTGATCGTTCTAATCACTGATATCCTTTCATGTAAAATTCCTCCTCCAGTAATTCAGAGTAGATGAACAATTACAAGTCGGACATATTCCATAACAATTCAGGTGATAAATCCCATTGTACACACAATACAAACATTCTGTTTACCCTCATTACTCTAAAACCACTTTTCAGTTAGTACCATTTCGATTGGTCATTTAAATGAAGTAATGGGGTTTAAGACCAGAGATAATTGGGTGCGATGTCTATATCTTTTAGTAGGTTTGTCAATAATGACGCATAATCTATCGGCAAACCGTTCAAATACAACAAAATACTAGAATATTTTCATCCTTATCAGCTTTCAATTAGTCCTAAACAAAATATTACGTCAATTAGTTTTAGAAAAAACGCAACATACAGTAACGGACGATAGAGATATAAAAAGTCTATTGTTCTGTAGTTCTATCAAAAATTTACCATTTTTCATAAATTATCTATGAAAAAATTAGTGAAATTATTAGCAAATGTAAGGTATGATGTAGTACATTTTTTAGATAAGTAATTTCTATTTTGCACCCATTAAAAAAACTAATTTATTTCTTACCATAGTAAAGATACTATACCCATCATCTTTTCGATCTTGATGCAGTAATGTATAGGTCAAACCATCCTTTTTCCAAGAAGCGTAACAATTATGATGACTAACTAGTAAAAAGAGACACAGAAAATTAAAGCTTTCAAAAAATAATGAATGAGTGCTCTTTGTTGATATATTTGAAACAAAACTTACGTTTTAAGGAATAAAGTTTTGATTACCATAATTTGTCATGTTTTAATGTATCAGATGATGTATGAAAACCATGTGGATTACTACCTCTAATAAAGAAAACTAAACAACTGGTTTGATTTTTGATCCAAATCATAACAATTAAGCGCTTTTGAGCATCAAGATGGGGGCTTGAAAAGTCATACTGTTTTTGCAAACATTCTTTATTCCTTCAACAGTTATAGAGTGGAGGATAATTAAGGATTAAATCATATGACCAGGTGGGTAGATAACGCGATGATTGGTTTTAATCTCGCCTCCTTTCAATGAGCTATACCAAATAGTTTGGTTCATTTAATATATGTTCACATAGATGTTTTTTAAATGAATATCTATAATAACAAATATAGGAAATAATGCACTTACTGCTATTGACCTCAAATATGTTGCACTTTGGATCATCAAACGTCCATTCAATCCCTTCATTTATAACACAATCACTTTCCAACGTTGCAAATGTCTGATATTGACATATAGGCTTTATGTAAATAAATTAGACAAGCAATTATGAATGAACAATTTTTGAGTTGGCATTTTACATTGTTTGATGATTTTTTTTTATTTTTTCGATATTATGCTTTAACACTACATTTAAATTGTTTAAATTACTCAATTTTAAGGTTATCTTTGTTGTTTTAATGATTAAGATGTGATATTGTGTCATTAAACTAACCTCATGCACATAGACGTGTATTTATCTAATCTAGGGGTGTCTCTTTCAATTTAACATTCTATATTCTCTCTGTACTACCGTTTTCTATAATGTTAAGTTATTCAACATATTAAATCAGTTCATTTTTCATGCGAATTGATGATAAATTTTTAAATTAGTAAGATTCCATTAGCCAAACGTCTTGTTTGTAGCCAGTATTTGATTTTTAATAGAAATTACTTCCGTAAGACATTTTAAGTAGGCTGTCTACATTCTTTTTTTATTATTTACCTGCCCTTAACTATTATGGACGTGTTTCTCAACAGATTAGTAGGGTCAGTTTGGGTAAAAAAAACCCAGTTATTCACCGTTTTACAATATTCAGTCACGTTTTTTTAAAACATGATATACACGAGCAATTATGGATTATAACATGGTTACATAACTATGGATATGAAATCAAATATAGTTTTCTGTAATTTGAATTTTCAATATTTATTTAAAAAAAAGTTTTCTTATTTTACAAACTCACTTTTTCAGAAGTAACTCTACTTAAACTTGTAATTTGGAATCCACCAACAAAAGGACACGGGATGAATAAATCATTCAGTTTTTTAGAGAGTGAAGCTGTAAATTGATGCCAATACAAACAAAACAGCATGTAGTAAATAGAATCAATGTAGTACTGAAAAATCTTTAAAAGTAATTTGGTGTACGATTTAAAAAATAAGGGAGAAAATTTTGATTATCGAAAGATTAATGATAAGAGAAAGAAAAGAAATGTGTTTTATGAATTGTTATCACCAGCGGGAATATGTTGTAAGTATCAGAAGAAACAACAGAAGGAAAATTAAATGACGACATCGTAGAACTGTTTAGACCAAATTGCTCGAATGTAAAGTCTACAAAATTTTAATTTAGAAGGATGGATGTTGTATATTAGTTTCTCCCCTTGTTGGTTATATTCACTGGTGGAAAATATAGTAAACTGCTGAATTATTATAACAGTTTCAATACATTAAAGTCTTCAATAGTTCCTTGGTTTAAATGATTTTTAAGTTTACGACCTCATTAAATGTTTGGATACCTTCTTGGTTAAACCTTAAGAAAATTATCAAGTGTACATCAAATGAGTTCCACTTTTAATCATAGTCACTGAAATGTTTCATATTAAATCTTTGAAGGTAAACAACAGTAAGGTTTACAACATTCCACGAAAAAAACAATAGGTTGTTTAAAAAACTATTTCGATTTCGAAAAAATGACATTAGTTGATACCTTATTATCAAATACTAATAAATAAAGCTTGAAATAACAAGCAGTTAATCGACTGAATTAACAGTTAATCAGTTCATGACTTCTTAAATTGAGTTGAGTAACTTGTTAACAAAGTAAAAAAATTAATTTAAACAATATTTCGATGAAAGTAAAAAAAGTGGATAACTAAAGCATAAGTAATTGCGATACTCTATATTTATGTCCTCCAGCAATGATCTAATTTTACAAAGCGAAGGGTTTAGAAAAAAAATCTTAGATCTATAGACATTATGCAGAATAAAAGCAAGGTAATTACATAGGCTTAATAGCTTATATAACATAAGTCTATATCTTGATTGAATATGAACATTTATATTTGGCAGTGTACACCATAATTACATTATAAATTTTTATCCAGGGAAATGTAATTCTCATGAATATATATGGTGTATGATACTTATGATGATAGATATAATTGCTTTGTAGCACCGATTGGAAATAAAATGCCTGCCACGAGAAGATGAAGAAGATTGAATTGAAGAGATTAGGAAGGAAAACAGACAGGAATTGAAATAATAACTGATTTCGAAGAATAAAGATACACGCACAAAACAAATAAAAGATGTGCAAATGATGTATTTAGTGTATGATTTTTATATTGTATGAAAGCAGTGTATAGTTTTGCTTATGTTAACTTTCACTTACAAAAGTACGTCACCTTGTTTTACTTCCTTTACAAGCCAATGAATCAGTTAATCTTTACTTTAAGCAATGTCTATCCAAAATGTATTTCAAAAATGAGATTCAAACTCTAGGCTTAAACATCTATTCAGTACATAATCTGAACAGTAGTTCTCCTACAGTTTTTCTATCGTTCCTTTGTTAAACTTAGACATTTAAATGTTCAAGTTTAAAAGAAAATTTGTAAAACTAAAGTGTTATTTAAATGTACGAAACACATTGAGTTTTCAGCAGAATCTAATTATGAATTCCATAAAACATCGGATATATTATATGTCACTATACAAATATCTCAGTTTATAAAAATATCGGAAAGATTACTGATCTCACCTTGATTTATTGTTAAGTAAAATGAGATCTAGATTTAAGTTCAAATAGAAGGGATGAATACTTAGTCGTTTATGTTTCAAATACGAAATATACTATCTTAGCTTTACATCTTATCTTACAATCCCGGAAGAATGCTTTTCATTTTCCCACCAAGAATGTCAGAACGATCTTAAGTAATGTTTGAATAAGCGAGCTGGGTAGCAGCAATCAAAGTAAATATCACTAAGTTTGTGAGTTTGCCATTTAATTCCTAAATTAAAATAGCCTGAATGGCTGCTGACTCGCTTTGTCAGACAGTGATTATAAGAAAATAGAGTTAGATGTTCTATAGAATATATATGTATATTTATATATTAATAATATATCATAGATACACGTCTAGAGCAATTCTCTTCTAAATTGTGAAGCGCAGAAGATAGTCTTTTTATTTAAGGTCCAACAGAATGAATTACACCGGTTTGTTGCACGTGTCAGTTAATTCATACAAGTTTCGTCTTACTTTCATAGATCCCTACAAGCCTATGATGTGATTTCTTCTAACTATATACCTAGAATTATTTATCACATGTTAATCTAGTATTCATTTACAAACAACAAGTATCTGTGACTAATATAAACATATATATGAATAAACCATTATGATTATTGTTTATATAAAAACATATTATCATTAATTACTCTAATAACTTTCTCTATACTTCTTGCATCATTGTTCATACATTTCCATTTCATTTTGTAATCATATCTCAAATCATTGCTGAAATACACTTATCTAAGATTTTTATCTTTCCATTATGTTACTTAATGTAGCATTCATCATATACAGCATCACCTATGAAATATGATACATACATATGATTACCTTTTGTTAAACATAAAACATTACCAGTCTGTTTATTTCAGTATTAAGTAATTATTACAGTTTTTGACAAAATGTTCTTAAAGGACGTTTTTCTACAATAAAGTATAATGTTACGATAGCTTAAGAACAATAAATTATTATTATTCAGTTATGATATTATTACAACTATTGTTCTTCAGTTTTACATAATATGAAAAGTAGGTATCCATGCCAAGGATAGACTTGATAGTTTCAAATCAATTAAGCATTGGATAGAAAGTTGATAATAAATATATTTTTTGTAACACTGTAATGAGTAGAAAATTGTATTTTGGACATTCCATGACTTAATGTAAGTCATCTCTTTATAATAAATAGATAACTAAAATGAGTTCAGCTATTTGTTCACTCTGAAGAGGTGACTTAAATAAAGTTACAAAATATCAGAAATACAATATTTTACTCATTGGGATATAACAAAAACATATATTTATTATAATACGAAATATTATTAAATGATAAGGAATTTCAGTAGTTTTGTTATTCGCTTATTTAAGTAATAATCATCAAATTTCTCATTAAAAAATTCAGATTTTTGACCGGTTTAATAATCTGAATTAGTGAATGAAGTATATGATTTATTCATTTTCCCATTACCAACTTGATAATTTACAGTATCAGCATTGTTATGAATATATATATATATATATAACAAGGTTATTTGTGATAGTTTATGGGTTATGTTTCGTTGTTATCTAACTTGACTCTTGCTTTTTGTACTTCATTGTAAATGAAACAAAATGAATTGGTAAATGTCAGTAACATAAAATCAATTAATACAAATGGTACGAGTTCCCACTGTTTAAAATAAATTTTCTACTAGGTGGTTAGGACAATAGTATTTTTTTGTTAAAGAAACAAACGCCTCTAAGGATTTATGATAAATATCTTTTAAAATTTGTGTCAAGTGAAAGGGTATACACATTGTTTGGTTCAAGTGTTGACATAATGGATAAATAAACATTGACAGCGAAAACAAGATACTGAGGAGCTCTTATGTTGTTTGCAGTCAGTTTCTTGAAATATGTACTTCAACAAGTTCTGCTTACCTTTTATTTAAGTGTTAAATAAAAGAATATTACAAAAAAGTAATTAATTGGACTTTTTATTGTTTTCGAGTTTTGTTTTCAAAGTTTATTGGGAATCAAATCATTAAGGAGATAATTTGGGAATTTGTCCAACAACAACAAAAATAATACAACTTGTTAACCTAGAAGAATAAATTTTCCAAGCGAGTAAATTTAGTATTTTTTATTGGAATTGAATTCATTCAAGCGTATTCTATGGGATTCATTTATAAAACTGTTCCAGAATATAGACAATCACATGAACATTGTTAACACTATTTTTTTAATCGAGTAGATATCCATAGTTGTCTATATTTTGTGATTTTTCTAACATTTATAATTTTCCAAAGATTTTGATAAATCTGATCAATAGTATCGTCTTTATCATTTAAATATCTCTTCAATGATGTAATCAAAATAAGTAAAAATGATGAATGTAATATTCACGAATCATTTACAAATAATTCTAGTAATTTTTTTCACTCATAGCATTATATGAGAAAATAGTTTTTAATATTTGTTTATTAACAGTTGTCTACGCAAGATACTTTGGATCCGTTAGCCAGACACTATCAGTAACAAGCTACTTTGAGAGAGAACAAACCAGATTTCAGTGGAATAAGAAATTAGGAAGTGGATAGGATAAACGTTGAGGAAAGCACCCAACTACGTCACAAGGCAAGTCCCCACTTCTAATCCTCAAGACCAGAGGAAAAGAGGAAGACGAAAGAACACATTAAGCCGAGAAATGGAGACAGACATGAGAAGAATGAACAGAAGTTGAATAGAGCTAGAAAGGAAGGCCCAGGACAGAGTGGGTTGGAGAATGCTGGTTGGCAGTCTATGCTCCATTGGGAGCAACAGGCGTAAGTAAGTAAGTAATTTAACATTTTATACTATATGAATTTAAAAAAGAAACATTTTTCCTTACTGAAGACTTGCCCAAGTAACAAAAATGGTACTTAACTGTTGATATATATATGAAAAAGTCATTAATTAAACGAACTCTTCTATCTATGCAAATGTGACTTCATAAAACTGTTTAACGAAAATTTCGAAGCAGTTGATTTCAAAGATATTCGCCTTTTGAATATCGTTTTATTGTACTTTACATTAATTACAAATACATAAATATTAATAAAATATGAATAATTGTGTGATAACTGTTTTACAAATAGCATTTTAATTTGTTTCGTTCTTAAAATTATTTATTCTTTTTATCTGTGTACTAAATAAAGTAATGTGGAATTATTTGCTAGTTGGTGAAGGAACTTGAACTTTGACTTGCAAATAGGATACCCTTTTTTAGAGAATCGATTTAAAGTTAACTCTTAATTCACATAATAACTGAGCTATTTTACTGTTTGTAGTGAAAAATAGATATTATATACAGTCTTTACATTTAAGTGAAATCTTATGGAAGCTAATTATGTAAATATTCTTAATTACAATTAGTCCACCTAAAAACTTGGTTTTGGTACTTTATTACGTAAATAATGTTTTACAACAAATACAAATACATTTTTGTTTAAAAAGCTTGTGACTTAAGGCAATATCGTAGCAATCCGCATAGAATGCATATATGCTAACAAGAGACTGATCAATTATAGTCCTAAACAACAATGAGAAGATACAAATAAACAATACAAAATGAATTAAGTATTTACATTTGGCTACATTCATTCAGTATTGTTTGTTTGAATCTTCCCATTGATGTTTAGGATTGCAACTGGTCAGTCTCTAATTGACATATGTGCATACTGTGCGTATCGTCTCTATATTGCCTTAATTCACAAGCATTATAAGAAAAGATGGATAGTGGCTAGCAGTTGAATCCAGATTGAAGCGCGTTTGGTCCTATTTGAGACTCACCAGGCGGATGTACCTGCATCTCAGAGTTGATGTTCACTTTGAAACTCGAACCCATTACCATTCGCTTCAAACGCCATCGCGTTATCCACTCAGCTACTGAGTTCTGATAGCCTCTTGCTTGTGCAATGAAGTGAAGTTTGAGTTCACTTAGTATTGTTTGTTTGAATCTTCCCATTGATGGCGTTGGCGTTTGAAGTGAAAGGTACTGGGTTCGAGTCGCAGAGTGAACATCATTTCTGAGAATCAGGTACTTCCGAATAGGGCGAAACGCGCGTCCTGGATTCTACTACTAGCCACTATCCATCTTTGCTTACGATTTGACCATGTGTTTTTTAGAAATGATATGATTTACGGTCGATTATTTTTCATGAATTGATCGTGTTATATCGATGCTAATAATCTGTATCAGATCCATAAACGACACAGTAAGTGAATTATTTCATTTTGTATCTCTTCTATCAACTATTATTTGATTGAATATACACGTGAACAGAAACAAACCGAAACAATAGAAAGATACAAGCAAATAATATCACGTGAATTTAATACAAATTTTTATTCTAAGTTAATCATATAAAAGCTTGTAGTCTAATTGTATATAAAGTCTTCAAATTATTATACCTGTATACATAAGAACAAAACATAAATCTCCTATTCAATATGTTTTTATTAAGTTAATATTCTTGAATTTTCGAAAGATTAAGCAAATGTTTACAACCAATAACACTCTTTTTTGTATAACTATAATTAACTGAACAGTTTGTTCTCTGGTAAGCAGAGATGGATAGCGGCTAGCAGTGGAATCCAGGACGCGCGTTTCGTCCTATTTAGGACTCGTCAGGTGGATGTACCTGCATCTCAGAGTTGATGTTCACTCTGAGACTCGAACCCAGTACCCTCGCTTCAAACACCATCGCATTATCCACTCGGCCACTGAGTCCTGATAGCCACTTGCTTGTGCTTACCATGCTTGTGAATTAAGGCTATATTGAGGCAATACGCACATATGCCAATTAGAGACTGACCAGTTGCAGTCCTAACAAATCGATGGGAAGATTCAAACAAACAATACTGAATGAAGTTTGTTGTCTGTTAAAATAATAAACTATCAGAGCTCATTTTTCAATGAAACAAAATGATTCTTTAAAAATAATCGTAAATGATACTGTAATTCTTATAAAGTAATTTAATAATCTTGATATATTTGGTTATTTTTTTGTATTACTTTTCTTTTACACTATTCAAACTGAATGGAATAGAAAGCCATCATTTATTTCTAGTATTATTATTTCAAATGAAAATAAAGAATGTTGATCAAGATTTTATAAATTATGTAATAATTATCAAAGTTATTTGATACATTAGCTTAATACAATGCGAACATTTTTATAACATTAATTTATCAAAATTATTGCATAAGAAATAGAAGTAAAACTAGATGCATTAGGGCGTAAGAGAAGATAATGATGGGAAACAATATTGGCCTCACTACTCTAGATAGTAAAATGGAATCAATATTATCAGAGCAGGTTCAATGGATTTTAATGTTTAGGTAAACTGACCAATGAGTGACAAATGGATAAATCTAGACAATTACTTATTCTGTGTATAATGTTAGTAAACTAATGTTTGTGATTTATTATTTATAACAGTTATAATGACATCATAATACTCATGTTCTTCGATGTATTTCTAATTTTATTCGGAGATCTCCGTGTGTACAATATAACAGGTCAATATTTCAAGGATTTTATGTAGTTTATATCATGAGTCAATTGAAGCTAGACCACCGTGGAAAACCTGGAAGTACTGAACTGGCATTTTGTTCTATTGTGGGACTCCAAGGATTTGTTAATAGACAACAACTACAAAATCCGTTTATTGAATTCCTTTAGGAGTTAGTTATATATTATACCAAAGTATTCGATAAAACTATTAGACTATTCATTACTTTCAACAAAAATAATTTTCATATTTTTCCTTAAATTTGATGTTCACTGTTTATTTTCATATTATTGTACAGGTCTTATCTCATGACAGACATCTTTCAACTGATTGTGGTCAATCTCCTGTTGATAATTTAAAATTTGATTTTAATTCATTGTGAATTCCTTGAAACTGTTGATAACAGAGTAAACAACTATCACAAAATTCCCAAATCATATTACAAATCGTTTGGTGTCCAATAGACATTGACTGTATATGGACTCAAATAACTGTATACCTATTTCATTAAGTCTATCTATAATCAAAAAGTAAATATCTTTATCATGTTTTATTTTTCTTAAAAAAAATAAATCAGCAATCGTTTTAATGATTTTCTATTTTCTTCTTATCTCGTCTAGACTACAGCAAAAAAAAGTTTAAAATTATCATTTTAATTCAGCTGACTATTTTTCAAATCAAATAAACATTTTGAAAAATAATTTTTTTTCTTTGTTTGTATGTGTGTGTGAAATTGAAATTATGGAAAGAATTTAAATTGGTTGAACGTTTAATCAACACAATTGTTTTCTTTTCAAAATATTACCAATGACTTGTTTAAATAAAAAGATTGATCCCTCCTCCCCTACCCTCAAAAATTTTTTTTTAATCTTTTTAATCAAAAATGCTTGGTATATAAATTAATTTTTTGTATAGAAAAAAAGATTTGAATAATTAAAATAGAAAGTGGTACACTTTTAGATAATCATACAAATATACAAACAAAATGTATTAAGATTTAATTACAATTATTTTTATCTTAAATGTTAAAAATCATGAGTTGATCTAAGCTAGATTACCATTGAAAACCTGAAAGCATTGATCGGACGTTTCTTCTTAGTATAAAACATTTCACTAGTGAACATGCACGACCACTCATGAGAGACTTCAAGCTAGGACCTTCAGTCTTCCATGTGAACGTTTAAGCCCTATGTCATTGATTCGGTATCCGACGATGTTATTGTCTAACTTCAATCGATCAATAAATAGATAATAATTAAACGTTTAATCATTGAATTGATGATTGGTGTTCGACTTTCATTTCAAAGTGAATTACAAATGAATGATAGACTTTAAAATTGAGTTTACACAATTTTGTAAAGTGATGAGTTTTCAATGTAAGATATAGTTATGGAAAAACATGTTACAGATTCAACTTATGTTCGTTAACTTTCATGTGAGTCTTACTGATACGTGATTAAAACAAAAATAAAAAATTGTTTTTACTTAAATAATAAGATTGTATACTAGTTATGAGAAAGATTTACTTACGTATCCAGAGTATTGAATCGAATTCAGCTCTGTCATCGCATAATGATTCATCGGGATGTAGACTGAAATGCTTACCTATTTGAAAAAAACAATTGATTTGGTAATTAGTTGTGTTTAGAATGATGGTAATCATTCGATTCATATAACTCTATTTTTTCAGTCGAAAAATGTAACATTACAGAACCATTCAAACTAGTTTAAACTTATATAAGCATAGATGGTGGATTAGAATTCTTATCTAATATATATATTTAATCTGTTTTCTGTATAACTACGTCGTGCGTAATATGTAGAAGGAATGATACGTTATGGTATATTAAAGGTCAGGAATCGAACTTGGCGCTCTAATGATTTTTCTAAAACTGATTAAAATATATTATAAAAGATTAGTCATTGAAAGTTTAGAATTTTGTTTCGTCCGAAAAATCACTTCAAAAACTTTCTAGTTCAATCACCCTAGTTAGGATGGCATGGTGATCAAGTAACTACATTTACATTTTATAGAAATATTCTGGACTTCACAAAATATGTGAACTAGGGATTCTGAGACTGCAAATCGTTTATAATGTAAGCATAATTTTATAAACAAAACTTAACTCACTAACAGATAAGAATTTTCCTAAACGTCGATCTTAAACATTGTCGTAGGATTACTGAATGAAAATCCAGGCGATTAGAGTAATTTTATTCTTTCTTTCTTATAAACGGTATTTTAAAGTACGCGTTCTGGCTGAAGCAACTTACAAACAAAGTAAATTAAAGATTGTTTCCTGAAAAGTTCAAGATAAGTTATTCTTTTTCGAACTTATAAAATTCATAGTTCATATTAAATTTAGACGAACAATTGTATCATTATCGAAACAAGTACATAACCTTTTCTTAATGTTCCATTAGGTAGGCGAAGTCCCCTGAATTCCCTGCATATTCCGTAACTGTAAACGCATCAGTTTAGAAAAAATTTATACTTTTTTTGTGATCACTCAGATAGCTCTTCTTTGCAGTGATGAAGTACTAATAAAAATCTTATTTCATACGACCAGATTCCTTGATAGATTTACTCAGAGCAAGAAAAACAATGTTTGTAAAACACAATATGAATTCATTCTATTTGATCTTTACTTATTATCTGCATACAACCTAAAATTACAATTAATAACGTAAATGTACTCATTAACAAATGTTTAACATACTATAGTTTTTGAACTTATGATAAATGTTTGAAACAATCAAAATCATAAATGATCAAAAGAATACGGATACAAAGTGAACAAATTAACATAGTTAAAATCGATGTATATTATTTTACATTGAGAACATTTATCTAAACTTCACAAACTGAAGTATATTAAGCATTAGCTAACAACTATATTAATATTAATAATTGCAATTTTAAGTTTTATTCAGCTGATGCGAAAATGTGAAATAGAATTATGATGTGTGCTACCGATGTAGATGAATATAAGTAGTATGTATCATCAAATAAAAGTGGAATGACAGAAGACTAAAGTTAAGAAGGTAGAAGGTTAAGAAGATCGAAGAAAAGAATGGGACAATAGAGAGTGATCGGTGTAAAAAAAGAATCAATCAAGTTTGAGGCAATTGATTGACATTTTGAAAATAAAAAATATACTATGTGGTTCACAGATTTTACTAAGAGATTCTGTAATTTTTATGTTGAAATGTATTTGGTTGCCTAAGATCAGAATTTTCAATACAAATGTCAAGAAAGTTCTACCGTATGGGACGGAGACGTGGAGGACTACGTAAGCCATCATTCACAAGATACAGGTGTTTATTAACAGTTGTCAACGCAAGATACTTTGGATCCGTTAGCCAGACACTATCAGCAACAAGCTAATTTGAGAGAGAACAAACCAGATTTCAGTGGAATAAGAAATCAGGAAGTGGATAGGATAGACGTTGAGGAAAGCACCCAACTACGTCACAAGGCAAGTCCCCACTTCTAATCCTCAAGGCCAGAGGAAAAGAGGAAGACGAAAGAACACATTAAGCCGAGAAATGGAGACAGACATGAGAAGAATGAACAGAAGTTGAATAGAGCTAGAAAGGAAGGCTCAGGACAGAGTGGGTCGGAGAATGCTGGTTGGCAGTCTATGCTCCATTGGGAGTGACAAGCGTAAGTAAGTAAGTAATATTTGGTTAATTACAATCTCGTTCTTTTTCACTACGGAATGAATTCATTTTAATCGACAAACCTTGTTGTTCTTACTCTATTGGGAAAAGTTTTATTTCATCGAATAAAAGGCAGATATAAATAAACTTATAAAATTTTTCTATTCAACTAACTTCAAAACAACACACTGCCAATGATTATTAAAATAAAGTTGATTTAATAATATTAATTTATTGTTTCTGTATCTTATCTAGTGTGTTCAACTATTTAATATGATAACAAAACAATTTCATATACATGTTAGGTTACGGAAACACATGTAGATAATGAAATGTTTTTAATTTTTAGAAAAATATAACAAGAAGATTCATTAGATTCATTATATTATAAGAATTGTTTAATATAATAATGACTATATATTGGTTAATCTTTTATTTAGTTAAATGGCTTGTGAAGTTCAATCGGACTTAGTATACATCATTAATTGATATCAAAAGGCAAAACTCTGTTAATGTCGGAGTGGGTTTGTTGAAGATGAAAATGTGTCAAACTGGATCACACTTCATTGATTCAAAAAGGAGGTACTTCTCGAAAAGCCAAAAAGTCCTACCGTTCAAAAGTATGAACAGGACTTTGAAACACTTAGAAAGTAGAGCCCCAAACAGAGTTGGCTGGAGAGTCTCAGTCAGTGGCCTACAAGTCACGAAGGGAGACAGACTTAAATATGTAAGTCCCATTGTGCAAGTCTTGAACAAAGTTGATCGAAATTTCGTGTTCGGTAAATGCAAATAGAAGTTAATTTATTAATCTGGTGAAAGGCATAGCTTGTTGTTGATTGTAATTGGAAGATAACTGATTCAAACATTCGATGTGACTAATAATTAAATGTAGAATACGGGTTATTTATATTGGTTATGTGTTCTTCCAAAAGCATCATTTGCTATGATGAAACATCTGCCAGCTATATGTAATCAACTGTTAGTTAACGAAATATTTTTCATCGCCAACGTAAAATAAAACTTTTGATTACCTTCCCGTTATGGTCATCATTATTTTATGGTATTTTTACTTAGTTATTTATTATTCCATCAATTCTCAAAAGAATTTCTTGATCCACGAAACCATGCGAACTCATTAGAACTTTAAAACCTACTTATATCATTATAATAAATATTACACGACCTGTCTCACACTGTTTATATTTTCTAAATCTATCCTCAATAAAATGTTTGTTACAATTTGTACAAAATGACTGATAATACTCATTGTTTGACATTTTTATGGTCACTAATTGTGATCATATAAACATTGCTGACAAGTGCTAAGTTGCACGAAACTTCGGTTCATCGCTTCCTGTTGACTACCTCCAACCACCATCTTATCTCTACATAGCGCACGCAATGTCAAGTCACCTAGATTGGTGGCCATATTACAACTTGGTCGATAAGATTCGATCTGCTCTCAGAGGCATCTGATACACATGACATTGATAACCATCTAGTGAGCAATCAATTGTAAGTTGTTATATTTCAGTAATGATAAATTGGTCAGTAGTTCAAGAAAAAATTCACGATACTTAATGAATGTATAATATTCTGCATCAACTTTTGTTCTACTGTTGTTCAAATTCATAATGGATGTATTTGTAAAATTATTCTAAATTTGACCTGAAAATTGATATGAATATCATATCGGTATTCTTAGAAGCCAAATTATAAAAAGTTGATCACAGAATCATGTACAGAAATACTTACTTTGTAAAATATTGATAATTTTTATTGGATCATTTTTATTGACCAGTTGAAAATAAAAACATTGATAAACTGGACTGAAATGTAATTTTGATTTTGGAAAAAAAAATGTATTACAGTAAGAATATAGCATGATTTGTATTGTTAACAGTAACACCGATCATATTAACAATAAATGATGGAGTTGCAAGAGTTAGAATTATTACTTAAGTTAGATCTTCGTACGATACCGTCAATACGAATAATTCCTAGGAAGAATATCCTAGTTATTTATGAAGACAGTTTAAACACCATCCTAAATTGTCATAAAAATAATGTATTGTACATTAAAAACGGGGTACAAAACGTGTGATCGGCGCTTGTCTAACTGGTTGTTACATTAAAAAGTATTTTAACTCTTAATGTTTTCTACTAAACCGCCGTCATATACGATAAGGAGTGGTAGAAGCACAAGATCAAGCAATTATTAAACATAACTTGATATTAATTTATGTGGTTTCAAGGCTCTTAGACAATTAGACTAATAATGTTTTCATTCGCATTTAAAAAGTACAAAACAAATGTGTATAGGTATGATGCTTAAATATATATGTGAAAACATGTAAGCTACTTGCTGGATGTACGTAAAGTATGGGAAAAAGCACATGATATATTTAGTACTACACTAAATATGTTTTCCAAGTGGATTATTTTTCCATTCATCTGACTGATTTTAAATTTGCACCAATATGTTATTATTATGAATGTTAGGTGATCCTGTTTATCAAATCTATGAGCATCAACTAGTTCTCATTCCATACTGACACGGTTTTGACCATTTTAGCACTGTAATGCGCAACTCGATAATTTGACGTACCACATGCAAGAAATAGTTGATAAAGTAGAGTAAATATCATTGGGTCTTGAATGAGAATAGAAGATCCTCATTCACGTTTACTTCTGGTAATTATAAAAGACAAAGCGCTTTGTAGTCAGTTTGGAATGGGAATATTTCGAATCGTTGTTGATCACATATGACATGTTGATGTACTTCTTGAAGGTATAGAAAAATGTGGAATGCATTTCAGATGTCATTTAGCTTATGTACATTGTCCGTTATCATAGTTACATGATTACGCTCTGTTGGGATATTTTATTGAAGAAATATTGCAATAATAGTAAATTTTGCATTTTGAACTATTTCTCAACCCATCTCAGAATGATCGGAACATTTTTATGAAAGTGCACATGAAATGTTTCCGCTGATGAAAGAACCAGATAATGAAAAAAAGAAACATTAGTTTCAAATTTGTCAATAAACTCCCAAGACTTATTAAGCACAATGCAGAAACATGAAAAAACCCACTTCCACCTATTGTTGACCAAATTTTAATGATAAGAATAATAGAAGAAGAATTTTCAGACTCACCCTGAATTTGGTAGATCCAACTGTACTATAAATTTATAATGTTTACGATAAATAATCCTTTCACATTTAATACTATAATGTATAAGATGAACAAAAGTGTCATTCACTTTATCAGATTCTTCATCTGAATCCCATAATACTGTATTACGACTACACCAGTCATCTTCATCAAATCCAATCAAACCATTAAATAGTGGTGACAACTGAATAAATCTCCTGTCTATTAATAGCGATGATGAGGAAGATCCATTCTGTTTCATATTCAGACGTTGATATGGGTGTAAACACAACTGCTGTATCCACAATAAATCAGTATTTGATGATACAAGCATTTGATTCCATCCATCAGAAGCAGCAGTTAAATCAAAACCTTGTTTCACAACAAATTTACGTAAGTAATCATTAAGATTAAACGAAACAGGTGGTAAACGTTGACCATTATGTGTCCACCAAAGTTGATTTGGTTTAAGAACGGAATATTCAGAAAACTGACATTTTGCTTCATTTAGTTGAATTTTGTTGAAAAGGAAAATGAAATGCACTGAAGGAAAAAAAACAATAACAAAAAATAATCTACCACGATATAAATTATTTAATATGTTTTGCTAAAACAGCGTTTATCTCTGAATAAATTAAGATTCAACTTAAAGGATCTCACAATTACTGACTACGTGTTTAGTAACTTCATCTAATATAAGTCATCCTCTGCTGTTCCGTCTGTTCGAAGGTGAATAAACCAGGTTAGAAATGATTATATCTTCAGTCTCTGTAACCGAGTAAAATAATCAAGTAATCTGATATGAAGTGTTTAGACATCTAGCAGAATCTTACATTATTGTTTGTTTTTGTGATTAAAATATACACTCGTGATCCAAAACTACGATAATTTTGTGCAATAACTGATAGAAATCTACCATATTTAAGTGAAACAATAAGTGATAATGTACTTTTTATTTTGGGACGCTAACACAAAACCCAGAAATTTTGACTGATGAACTCAATTCGCTAACTGTTCAATAACACTTACCTTAAACTTCAATATGTCAGTATTTTCGTTTTGTTTTATGTTGTCAACTTAATCATTATAAATGTAATTGATACCTTAAAATAATCTTCAGACGGAAATTATTAAAATCTTTCTTTGGATAGATAACTTCCCATGTTTGCATTGTCTAGTTGAGTTACGGTTAGTTGAATTTCATGTTTATGATAGTAATTTCATCAATTTGTTTGAATAAACTAAAGCACAGTATAAATACAGCTTATCAAAGTTTGAACATGTGATCGTTTTTCGATTACATTAAAATGAACTTCAGAAAACCTTCAACATGGAATAATCTAAATATACCGTTGGACTGAAATAAAAAAGCGTTTAAAATACAAAGTTGTTATTGCGGTAAAAAAAACTCGAGTAATCAGTTGTTTATCTGTTAGTCAGAAGATTTCTAAACGAAACATAAAACTTAATTGCTTTATACCTCAGAATACAGTTTAAATACTGTAATATACTTTATAATATGAATTAAAGTATTCCAAAATTGGTTATTTCAGTCCAGTCTTCGCTATGTTACTTGTGTTGACAAACAGGTTTAATTTAAGCAAAATTAATATCTTTTGTTGATAGTAATGGATCTAATTAAATAAATTTGCATTGATAACTTTTGCTGTGACTAATTTATAAAGCATTTCCGAGAAGTCAGTAAATACGCCAATTAAAAACAATAATGTTAAACATAGAGGAAAAAATTGGTGACAATATAATTTCTGAATGACCTGTGAGAGACGCATCAGTGACCTTGAGAATGTCCACCTACATACAAGGGCTAAATGAGGGTTACAAATCAGTTTGAATAGTAAGGAATATTATTTACAATCGATGGTCAGGTTTAAGAATTAGGTTTATGGTTTGTATTACAAACTGAAACCAGCCAAAATGCTCAAACTCAATTTAGATCAATGGGTAAATTAATTTTAAGCAAAAATTCAGGACCTGTTATCTTAAATCTGATCGGTTCATCCATAAAATATAGTCTTGCCAAGAAATTCGATACTTGATACACGATCATTTTTTTATTTGAAATACATAAGTAAAAGCATTGAGTGTAATTCATATATGGTTTGAATAACTGTCAAAATGTAATATGTATATTTATATAATTTCATCCCAAAATTACTGTTAATAGGAATGGATGAATTCATATATGCTTATCACATACTAGGAAATTGGACTAGTAAAAGAATTTATTTTATCTATTTATGCTTTTTGAGGATTGGCAAAGCAAGAGCAGGATTTCTACAATTAAAGAACATATGGAACTCAAAACAACTGTCAATTAACTTCAGAGTGAGAATCTTAAATATGGACGTCAAGACAGTTCAATTGTATGGAGCTGAAATGTGGAGAACTACTAAATCCATCGTCAAGAAGGTACAGGTATTTATAAACGGTCGTTTAAGCAAAATACTCAACATTCATTGGCCGGATACTATCAGCAACATCGTTATATGGGAGAGGGCAAACCAGCCTCAAGCTGAAGAGGAAATTAGAAAAAGATGTTAGAAGTGGATAGGACACACATAAAAGAAATCACCAAACTGCATCACGAGGCAAGCGCTAACTTGGAATCTGAAAGGGAAGCGGAAAAGGAAGGAAGGCCAAAGAGCACACTACGTCAGGAAATAGAAGAAGATATGAAAAGGATGAATGTTAACTGGAAAGAACTGAAAAGGATCGCCCAGGACAGGGTTAGATGGAGAATATCGGTGTGCGGTCTATGCTCCTCCATGAGGGGTAAAAGCCTAAGTAAGTAACTATTTATTTCTTCTTAGTTGTTCTGGCTTGTATTATAATAATGAAGCACCAACCATTTTTAGCCATGTCTTTTGAGGAAGGTTTATTTTTGAATGATTCGAAAACAATGTATCAATACTTTTTGTGTACACATAATGATCAAACTAGATTCTTTATTTATTCATTCAACCTAACCTAATTTATTTCCAGTTTCAAACACATTTTGAACTTGTTTGTTTTTTCACCTCATCATTATACATTTTAATCAATTCTTAGTGTCAACATAAAATATCTATTTAATTTCAATGATTTCCGGTCAATTTTACATATACATATATGTAGTTATATTTATTTTATGAAATGTTTTATTATACTAACTTGGCTCTGTAATGGTTTATTATATAGATAAAGTTAATTTTGTTTGTTATGATCTTGTCTCCAGAAGCAAATTTCTATTCTTTTCTTATATATTTATATGGGCGTTGCCGGATATAAACAAAAGGGTAATAATCATATATGTGTGTATAATATACATCTACATAAATATATATAGCTATATAGTACATTTATGTGAAGGCGTGTGGAAATTAGGTTCATGGAGAGGTAAAATGGACTGAAGCACAAATGAGAGTATACAGTAATGAAAAAAAAGTAAATGAAACCTTCATATCTAGAAATTCATCATAAACTGCTCATTAAATAATTCTTAGTATCTCATATATAAAAAGATAGTTATTTCAGTCTTTAACACTTAATAAGTTATACTGTTCATCCTCATGAATGCCTAAAAATCTGGCATTATATGAACTCACTCTGGATGAAACACAATTATTCTGTTACAATGAAGTTATTAAAGAAATAAGTTATTGATCAAGATTACATACTTTTTCATTGAAACGTAAAGTTCTAGTGTGGTAGGTCATCTAATAAATGCATAAGAATTTATAACTATCAATAAGATATTTTAGTAAATTGTTTGAGGCTATAATATTTAACTTTCTTGTGGTTCTCATGAATATACTCAATAGAATCTAAAGCTTGTGATAACAAATTCTCAACCAATTAAACTGTTGACACTTAATTGTATTATCAACGAACAAACAAAATATGAAAAATGACTTCAACCATACATCAGAACTATCTAAGATAAAATAGTCAAAGGTCATTTATGTGGTTAAAATTCTGAAAAATTCCAGTAAATGTGTTCTATGAATATTAGTTTGGGAGTAATTATCTAAAATACGGATGATGAAATTATCCGAACATGGTCAAATAATAACACATTTTAATATCGAATCACCGGGGTTAATAAAATGTGTTTTATAAGAAAGGTTTTAAATAAAAAAATTAATTATAATCTATTAATAAACAAGAATGAAACAAAGGGCATCACAAAGTACTTGTCAGAATATTCAAGACCATAATAAAACATTTTTAAGATTGTTGAGTATCTTTATACACAATGACATCACGTCTAGTTGTGAGTATAAAGTCAGTTAGTTATAATTAAATACTAGAGCATAAGCGGTATTATTTAAAAAAAACTTAGTGTGACCCGTTGTTATGCTGTTTTATGTATTTTTCTATTTAATTTTGGTTAAGCCCTTTTATTAACTAACATAACAGACATTGTCATTTGGATAGTAACAATTTGCATATTTTTTTGTACTGTTATGACCACTAGAGCACATGACAGACTCTAGCCAAAACGTTGATTGCTTTTATATATCACTCGGCGACACATCTTCCTCCCCATATATGTATGCACTTCAATCCGATTATTAGCTTTTACTTTGTCTTGCTGAGCCCTTATACAATCTGACTATAAATTTGCTTATGTAATTGCTTGCGCTTGCTCGCTGTTACTTACTCATGTGCTTGTAGTTTTGTTGCCTGCGTCACTTGATATTGAACTGTAGTTGCAGCCTCTCTTTGATTTCAGATTTCATGCACCGTTCAGATTTGTAATATAACGGTTATGGAGGTGAAAGATTAGTGAAGCACTGCACTACAGCATTTTAGTTTTTTTCAAAGATTGTGAAAATATATACAAATAAATACTGTAGTGAATAGTATTAGGTATTTTATTTTTAGTCTCCTAAGTGAAATTCAATCATAAACTATTATTTTTCAAACAATAATCAAAGCACATGCCACTGACTTCTTAATTAAAGGATTAAGCGTCAAGTATCGATTAGGTGTACTTGATGTACCATATTATATCTTTCTGAGTTAACTAACAAAACTTAAACTATTCAATATCTAAACCTAAACTTCTTAAATTATAACCAATGTAATGTGAAGATAATAGCTCCATGTGTTGATCACCCGAACTCAGAATGCTGTTCCGACTAGCAATATATGAATTTGACCTTTTTACTTTACTACATAGGATAATTAGGCATGTGAAGATTAACTGTTCAGATCAAAACTATTATTCCGTCGTTAGCTTAATGCCTTTTTATTGTTTATTGTTTTGTAACTACGCAACGTTTTCTCATTGGTTGATAGGTCATTCAAGGTCGCCAGTATATTATACTTATGCCACATATTTTGAGAAATTCTTTATCATTTAATTCCTAGTATTATATATGTATATACACCGACTATTTATTCATTGTGTGCTTTGAAATAGTATTTCTATCGAGATAATTTTTCATTTTTAATACAAGCTTATCGCTCATAATCAACCAGTTTGATATTATTGGTCTCAGTATACCCTATGGAATTAAATAGAGTTTGCATGAAAATAAATGCAGTTGATAAAGATCCATCTTAGTAATAAAACTTCCTACGTCATGTCGAAATTTTATAATTGTTAGAGTGATTAAGAAAAAACCTTAAGGTTCATTTTTACAATTTTGTACGTAAACATCATATTGCGTAACCATACGTGGTTAGAGAAAATTGGTTGCTAGGTTGTTCATATTAATTCAGTTGTCATAAATTAGTGGTCTAAATCTGTTTGCATAAGTTGGTGTTTCAAACGTAAAGATTTCAACAGGTCTAATATTGAACTATAATTAAACGTTTTGACTTATAAAGACTTCAGATGGAAAACAATGTGATGTTTCTAAAACACCTAATAAAATTATTTGAGTTTACTTTAGGATACACTACGTTTATCGTCGTAGCAACTGCAAAAATTTAATATGTCAGTAAGTGATGTGTTTAACATGTCATGTATTATTCAGGTGAAGCATTGAAAAAGTGGCTTTGAGGTAAACTGGTATTATTAGATTTCGATCATCAACAGACCACATTTCGTTCTAAATAATTCTTCGCTATAATCAGTCATTATTTCAAGGTGTTTCCTTAAAAACACTATTTGTCAAACAAATGTTCATAACCCCATTTTCCCTATAACTAAATACCTTATTAGAACACTTAATCAATTATTTGTAGTAAAAAAATTGATCCAACCCAAATCTTCCACTTCTGTATAATTCACAACCCTTTCAAACCGCTGATGTGTAGATCTTGTAAATTATTTTTTGATCAAATCCAATTATTTCATAAACATTATTTCTCTAATTGAAAGTCTATTTGGCAAATTGATGAATAGTGACATAATAATCTTGTTCCAAGCCTTTTTATTAACCAATAAATCTTATACATTATAGACTAGAAATAACAATATTTTTATCTATCCGAATGTCAGTAAAATTATGTAACATTTTAATATTTCGGCTTAGTAAACTTAAATGGTATTATAAATCATTTACCAGACGATTAAAATATGCATTTTATGAGTATTTATTTGTCTTCTGTGTATGAAAAACAAAGTGTAAACTCTAGAAGAAAAAAACTATTATCCAAATAACCGTTTTACATCAAAAGGATGAATGAATCAGATTGAGCCGAAAATATCAATAATTTAATACAATTCATTATTGATACTTGTACAATCGGGTTTACACCTAATGTCTAAGTGAAAATGTAAGTTTCAAAATCTGTTTTTTTTTAAATCAACATTTAATCTTGATAGAACATTTGACTATACAATCATTGGAATAAGCTGATGAGAAAAGAGACTATAATTTATGGACAAATCAATCAGATTTACGATAACAGGTCTTGAATTTTCGCGCAAAATTATTTCATTCATTTGGGTAAATAGAGTATTGGCATTGTTGCTGAAATCAGTTCCTGATGAAAAACTTAAATCTAATTCCTAACCTTAACTATCAATTGTGAATATTAATCTTAATTCCTCACACTTATTTATAATCCTCATTTAGCCGTAGTATGTAGTTGGACATTTTCAAAGTCACTCAAAGTTCCTCCATAAATTGTAGTCTCACTTGAGAAAATTTTTATACTACTCAGTAACTAACTAATCAAAACATTTTTCTCTCTAATAAGCTCAAAAAATTATGTTTTGTAAGATCGTAGTCAGTATTTTTAGGGTCATTATTCACCATCCATGAAAACTGCTTTATATGACAATTCACGACTATAAATAGAAGCTATCAACAAAAAGCCTAACAAATTAATATTAGGAAAATGACGTCTGACTGTTGTTTTCAGAAAATCACTCAAATTTAGTTAGTATTAAAAAAATCATAATTAAATAGATTGTTTTCAATATAATAAACTAATGAGTTATTACAAATGAACCCGACCGTAGCTGCAGCCTTGACATGGTGGTCGGGCTTGCCTATCGTGATAACCCAATTGAGCTATATTGATTGGAACATATATTCCTGTTGGTCCTACCATGCCAGGCAGGTCGATTGAAGAACGGTAAGACTGAAAACAGCAACTCAAGGTCTGAGGGCGAAGTCATACTGCCGACTTTAGAGGGGCGTGACAGCAGTAAAGTATTTCCCAGCATCTGAAGCTATGCTGCCTTCTCACAAGGAAGGAAGGGGCTAGAAAAAGTCGACTTTAAAAATGTCATGCCTCACCTTACCTCACGGATTTTCGTCTCCGGCGGTAAGGCCCTTTGGTGAAAAGAGCTTACACGTCAAAAACCTGCCACAAAAAAAGCTATGCGTGACCGGCCTCAAGCGGTTGTACCTTGGGCACTGCGGTCACGCTCCTAGGTCGTTAAAACCAACAATAATCCAACTTACTTATCAAGTCCCTCTAGAAATACCCTTCCACGGTGTGGGCAGCCGGGAAGTAATATTAACCCTCATACTCTTAACAGCATACAAGACCAAGTTGGCCACATTCAAATCCTTCCTACACCTTCATGACTGACAAAGTGTACATTTCATATTTCATATTGTTGGTAAATAGTAAGTATAATGTTTATAATCAAAGCAAGTAGATATTGTTAATCACATATAAAGTGTACATGTATTAAAAAAGAAACAAAAAACAAAACTTACTTGAATAAACATATATGAAACTAGTTAATTTTGTGTAATGTAATATATTCATAATGAAAATAATCTTTGATTAATAATAATAATAATAATATTTGTTTAGACAAAATCTAACTTTATTATAATCAATGTCATATTAAAACTGATCCATAGTAACTGATTTATTTACTTTATTTATAAATTTATTATTATTAATAAAATGTTTATTATTTCGTTAGCAACTGGTGATTGTCACGTAAATTTTCTAAGAATTTATAGATTCTTACAAATTCTTTTGTAACTAGTTGACATAAAACTTGTAATAGAAATTTTAACACATACACTTGCAAACATATTGAAGTAGTATGGATGAAACTGGGAAAAAATTTATATATATATATATATGTTTATCCAATCAAAAGACTTGTAACTGTTCACTTTTATACACATGTAACAAATAGTATACAAATCAACTAATAAGAGATAGACACACTCTGGGTATATATTTTCAAAAGTTTGTAGGTTTATAAGAAACCACAAAAAAAAGAAAACCAGAAAAGCAAAGCAAATTAAGTCATTTCTATTTTTATAATGAATAATAATATTTATACAAAACAAAATAATATCAAACATTAGAATAGAAACTGATATATATGAATTGATAAAATGAAAATAGTCCAATGTACTTGTTTGATTAAGACTTGTCAACAGATAGCTGTTAGTATTTGCAGCAGTTACTCTGCAAACTGTCAATGTTTACTTCAAATAAAATAACATTTGAAATAAGGCATTAACACCATGGTCTAGAGGTTAAGTGTTCGCTTGCGAGACCGATAGATCCTGAGTTCGAATCCCGAGTGTGTAGATGCGCACTGTTGTGGAGTCCCATACTAGCACTAAACGGCCGTCAAATGCTTCCAGATTTCCAATGGTGGTCTAGCTTCAATGAAGTTTAATGATTTCCACAATGTTCTATACAACTGAAACGTCTTTTTACTAATTTACTCTTCAGCTGAAGGTGGTTTGTTGTTTCCCACAATAGGTTGTTACTGAAGGCATCCAGTCAGTGGACATTCAGTATCTTACGTATACGATTGTTTATAAATACTTGTACTTTTTTGATGATAGTGGTGGTCGTTCTCGACGTTTCAGCTCCATACAGTAGGATAGTATTGACGGTTATATTGAAGATTCCGACTTCATTGTTAGCCTGAGGACTGGTTTTTTAAGTTCCATATTTTGTTGAACTGTAGGAATGTTGTCCTTGCTTTGCCAAACCATTCCGTCACACCTACATCAAATCCTCCTTGTTCACCTATGATTCTATCCAGATGAAGGAAGTTCTCACCTCATCCAGAGTTTTTCCATCAATTGTGATTGTGTTTGTGTTCTTTATGCTGTATTTGAGGATCTTGGTTTTTCCCTCATGTATATTGAGGCTTACTGTTGCAGAGAATGCTGCTACACTAGTCGTCTTCATCTGCATTTGCTGGTGTGTTCGGGATAAAAGGGCTAGATCATCTGCTGAGTACAAATCTAATTGATTGCAAGCTAAGTATTGTATTCCGTGTGGAGGTCTTCATAATCCAGTCTACCATTAGAAAAAAAAGAGGAAATAGGAGAGTAATCCGCCTTGTTTGACACCAGTCTATACTTGGAATGCACCAGTCAGTTGATCTTCATTCACGAATTTGTAGTGTAGTCAGTCATTAGCATTGTATATGATGTTGAAGATTTTCTCAGGTACACCACAGTGTTGAAGAAGGTTCCATAAGGTTCTCCTATCCACGCTGTCAAATGCTTTTCCATAATAAAGGGTGACGGGTTCTATTCAAATGTTTGCTGTACAACGGACTAAAACATCACTATTTATTTAGCATGTGGTCTATCCTTACGAAAACCAGACGGTTGAGTTCGATGTTAAGCATCTATTGAGTCTTTCACCCAGTTCAACAACACTCCGTTGACAACCTCTCCTGGTATCGATAGCAGTGTGATGTCTCTGTAGTTCTCACATTTGATCAAATATCCCTTTCTTGGTGCCTTGATAAGATATCATTCTTTCCAGTCTGTCAGTGATTGTTTTTCCTCACAAGTCTTTCCGAATAGAGTGTGCAGCATGTTTGCAGTTACTTCTACGTCTGACTTCAGTGCTTCAGCTGGTTTATTGTCAGGTGATGCTGCTTTTCCACTCTTGATCTGTCTGATGTCCATAATGATTTCGTTGTTCGTTGGTGGAGTGACATCTATGGCAGGTCTATGTGTGTTGCTTCTGTCTTTGGTGAGTTTAGTGAGACTGGTCTATTCTGAAGTTTTTAAAAGTGTCCCACTCACTCTTAGCGCTGATCTTGATCCTCAGTGATTGGTTACTTTGATTTGTTGCGTCCATTTCCTACCTTCTTGGTTGCGTCACATAATTCGTAAATGTTTCCTTTTCTTGTTACTTGTTTTGCTGTCACACTCAGGTTTTTTATATATCTCCACTTGTTATCTCAAATACCCTTCTTTATTTTTTTCTCCCTTCATCGTGAGGCTTTTAAGTTATGACTCTTCTCTAATAAGAAAAACTTTTCAAGTAGAATTATGTTAATATTAGTTTTAAAAGAACTTAAGGAATATCGACTTAATAGTTATTGAAAATATGGATAACGAGATGTTCATTAGACATCTCAAGGAGTTAATATTTAGGATTTGATCGAATAAGTGATTACAGCTAAGATTTTTAAGGAAATCAAATACTAATATTTAATAACTGTCTATAATGCTCTGTTATTCAGTGGTCCACCAGATGATTTCAATTTGTGACAAATACAACCATGAAAGTATATGACAAATCATTTCGGATATAACGCAAGTACGCCTACATCAAAAAACAAACCAGTCATCAATTTTCCAGAGAATTATAGAGAAAATTCTTCACTTCTACTGTGGTGTTTTCTCATTACAACGAATTTAATAGGCGAACCATTCTATGATATCGAAGAAAGTAGTTTACAAAATGAGTTCTAAATTTGATTGCTGACATTTCAGAACGGATACGAACCATAGTGACACTATTTGTCAGTTTTTCGTGACTGAGTATTAATAGGAAACCTAATACGATCACTGGAAAAAAGTAAAATCCAAATGACTTCGGAAGAAAAACAATCTAGAAGAAAAATATTGGTTAACTGATCAAATAACAGACAAGATGTTATCGTATGTATAAAAAGTGATTGCTCAACTATTTGTAAAGATCGATAACTTTTTCGAAATTGTCTGTATTTGTTCAATAGTCTATGAACTGAGTTATCATGAAAGAACAACCATTTCTTATGTGCTCATAAATGTACTTTTTAAATGAACAATGTCAAATTTAAAAGAACCATTGGGATAAAGAATTTATCAATATTCTTAATTCGATCGCAATAGTTTGAGACAACTGAGAAATTTGTGAAGGCTTCATTTTCCCATGTTACATAGATTGAAACTTTTAATGTGCTGAATCAACGTGTATTATCTTTTATAAATCCCTTTTTTCAATTTATTGAGATTCATCAAAGCTACCAAGTGTTTTCGTTAACTGAAATATGTTTGGGCACGTCAGGCAAAAAAATCGCCTAGATTAGGTTATATGAATAATTAATTCTGAAACATTCTACGATGGTTTCTGTTCACGTGTATATTCAATCAAATAATAGTTGAAAGAAGGGATATAAAAGGAATTAATTCACTCACTGCGTCGTTTATAGATACGATACAGATCATTAGCATCAATATGACAAAATCAATTAATGAAGAGTAATCTACCGTAAATCATATCCTTTTTAAGAAAACATAGCCAAATGTAAATACTTAATTCATTTTGTATTGTTTATTTGTATCTTCCAATTGATGTTTACGACCGTAGTCCATCAGTCTCTTGTTAGCATATATGCATACTGTGCGGATTGCCTCGATATTGCCCTAGGTCACAAGCATTATAAGCAAAGATGGATGGTGAATAGCAGTAGAATGCGGAGTGAATATGAATATCCAACTGAGGAGTCGTAAATAGGACGAAAAGTTAGTCCTGGATTCCACTGCTAGCCACCATTCATCTTTGCTTAATATATGAATACTGTTCATAGGTGGCCAACAATTGCAAAGGAGATATTCAGTCTCCAACTTGTCAAACATTTTTCAACATATTTTGTTTGATTTTCTGTGAAAGGTGCTGGGTTCGAGTCCCAGAGTGAACATCAACTCTGAGATGCAGGAACATCCAGCTGACGAATCCGAAGAAGGACGAAACGCGCGTCCTGAATTCCACCGCTAGCCACTACCTAACTTTGATTATAACTAACGTTTTTTTACAGGAATGATTATATGATTACTGGGTATGTAAATATTGATGCAACATAATCATTTACAATCTATCATACTGTATAAATTGTTATTCAGTAATTTTTCAGTTTAAACATTTATCTATAAAATCTCGAAATTTTTGTCACTACCAAACAAAACAACAGGTAACTATCTCATGTTTATATCATAGATTAAAATAATCATATCTAAAACTCTTTTCATCTATATTTACTTTTAACTGAGAGAAGAAAAAACATGATGACCAGTTTCAGTTATTTAAGTTTTTATCATTTATAAATAATTATAAGTTTTTTCAAAAAATGTACCCACATAAATATCTGACTTGACATTGAATTTTTGTGTTTTGTAACAGTTAACAAGCATAATAGGGAATTAGATGTATGTAAAAGATTCTGAATTAAAATCAATAAATTACTCTATTACAGGAAAAAGAAAACTATCTAATTCAAAGTATGCTTATTTTGAATTAAAGCATATCAACAAATTATACTGTTAAAGATTATCCCCAGTAATTAGTTTTATTTTTTTTCGATTTTACATGGTAGAAGGTTACTTTGATCATATACATGGAATGTTTAGTAACTAAGGTCTCTAGGTATATTCCAGCTTGATATTTATTACTAATCAATGATCAATCAGAATGACTATCTCATTCTCATAAGTGATAAATGTGAGAAAAAATAACTCATTTATAATCTCTATGACTGTAATGTTAACTGACATGATTTT